GAGCTTTCTTTGCGAGAGCCGAACGAACAGCCCGTGTGCGAAAGACATGGCAAAGCTGATCTTAGAAGGCTGACCAGTCGGGGATGTCGATGAAGTGGTTGAGGAACCACGTCTGCGCGACACCCGTGAGGTAAAATGACACGTGAGCGAGTTTGTAGGTGTTATCCCACCGGTTAGCAGCGCCGACACGTTCGAATTCGTCCAGCCGTTCTTCCACATCTTCCCCGCGCATACCAGCGAAGGGATGGGGCTCCCGCTGGAGGCTGTTGATGACGTGAGAAGGCGCGGCACGCAGTGGTGGAGTGGGAACAGCTGCAGCACCGGCCTCATCTTGGTGCGACATATTTCCGGACACCTGGCCCAAGCGGCGACCTGAACGTAGCTCCATGGGGTAGAGTGGTCGAGAGGTACGGGGATCGATACCCCGCACCTCCACCACGTATGAAGTCTTGGTTTGAATTACCTTTATTAGGCCCGAGGAATCGGCAGCCGACAGCTACGATGAATGAGCCAAGATGATGCTACGTGACAACGATGAGGATGCATGAGCCACACATGATAATGATGATAATGTACCGGTGAAATGGATGCGTATACTAACTGCCCACAATATATATATATATATATATATATATATATATATATACATATATATATATATATATATATAAATATATATATATATATATATATATATGAGATATAACAGACAGTAATGCCAAGGAATGTACAGGGGAAGTTATTAACATTAATGGAATGTAAATAAGAAGAAAGAAAAGTGGATGAAAAAATTACCAACTGTAAGCAGGAATCGAACCTACGACCTTCGAATTACGCGTTCGATGCTCTAACCACTGAGCTATTACAGCGGCCCTCTCTCCATCCACTTTTTTGGGTTTATCTGTGAATTTAGAAGTAGGAGCGACAGTCAGCGCCATCTATAAGCCAAACAACGAGTGTGAAAACACTCTCATGCGCATGTTTGGCGTCACGTAGCACGTGAGCTTATTATGAGCGGGCAGCTGATTAATTGTCCCTCTTATACAACCTAAACACACCAAGTCTGCCAGTACGAGACCCTCGTTCAATGAAATAAGGGAAAGAAGTGTATACCTAAGGGCTCGTTTTTCCGTGTTTTTAACACAATAATAATGAGATATAACAGACAGTAATGCCAAGGAATGTACAGGGGAAGTTATTAACATTAATGGAATGTAAATAAGAAGAAAGAAAAGTGGATGAAAAAATTACCAACTGTAAGCAGGAATCGAACCTACGACCTTCGAATTACGCGTTCGATGCTCTAACCACTGAGCTATTACAGCGGCCCTCTCTCCATCCACTTTTTTGGGTTTATCTGTGAATTTAGAAGTAGGAGCGACAGTCAGCGCCATCTATAAGCCAAACAACGAGTGTGAAAACACTCTCATGCGCATGTTTGGCGTCACGTAGCACGTGAGCTTATTATGAGCGGGCAGCTGATTAATTGTCCCTCTTATACAACCTAAACACACCAAGTCTGCCAGTACGAGACCCTCGTTCAATGAAATAAGGGAAAGAAGTGTATACCTAAGGGCTCGTTTTTCCGTGTTTTTAACACAATAATAATGAGATATAACAGACAGTAATGCCAAGGAATGTACAGGGGAAGTTATTAACATTAATGGAATGTAAATAAGAAGAAAGAAAAGTGGATGAAAAAATTACCAACTGTAAGCAGGAATCGAACCTACGACCTTCGAATTACGCGTTCGATGCTCTAACCACTGAGCTATTACAGCGGCCCTCTCTCCATCCACTTTTTTGGGTTTATCTGTGAATTTAGAAGTAGGAGCGACAGTCAGCGCCATCTATAAGCCAAACAACGAGTGTGAAAACACTCTCATGCGCATGTTTGGCGTCACGTAGCACGTGAGCTTATTATGAGCGGGCAGCTGATTAATTGTCCCTCTTATACAACCTAAACACACCAAGTCTGCCAGTACGAGACCCTCGTTCAATGAAATAAGGGAAAGAAGTGTATACCTAAGGGCTCGTTTTTCCGTGTTTTTAACACAATAATAATGAGATATAACAGACAGTAATGCCAAGGAATGTACAGGGGAAGTTATTAACATTAATGGAATGTAAATAAGAAGAAAGAAAAGTGGATGAAAAAATTACCAACTGTAAGCAGGAATCGAACCTACGACCTTCGAATTACGCGTTCGATGCTCTAACCACTGAGCTATTACAGCGGCCCTCTCTCCATCCACTTTTTTGGGTTTATCTGTGAATTTAGAAGTAGGAGCGACAGTCAGCGCCATCTATAAGCCAAACAACGAGTGTGAAAACACTCTCATGCGCATGTTTGGCGTCACGTAGCACGTGAGCTTATTATGAGCGGGCAGCTGATTAATTGTCCCTCTTATACAACCTAAACACACCAAGTCTGCCAGTACGAGACCCTCGTTCAATGAAATAAGGGAAAGAAGTGTATACCTAAGGGCTCGTTTTTCCGTGTTTTTAACACAATAATAATGAGATATAACAGACAGTAATGCCAAGGAATGTACAGGGGAAGTTATTAACATTAATGGAATGTAAATAAGAAGAAAGAAAAGTGGATGAAAAAATTACCAGCTGTGAGCAGGAATCGAACCTACGACCTTCGAATAACGCGTCCGATGCTCTAACCACTCAGCTATTTCTTCTTTCTTCTTATTTACATTCCATTGGTTCTAATACCTTCCCCTGTACATTCCTTGGCATTACTGTCTGTTATATCTCATTAATATTGTGTTAAAACACGCAAATACGAGCCTTTAGGTATACACTTCTCTCCCTTATTTCATTGAACGAGGGTCTCGTAACGGCAGACTTGGTGTGTTTAGGTTGTACAAGAGGGACAATTAATCAGCTGCCCGCTCATGATAAGTTCACGTGCTACGTGACGCCAAACATGCGAATAAGAGTGTTTTCACACTCGTTGTTTGGCTTATAGATGGCTCTGATTGTCACTCCTACTTCTAAATTCACATATAAACCCCAAAAAGTGGATGGGGGGACGGCCGCTGTGATAGCTCAGTGATTAGAGCATCGAACGCGTTATTCGAAGGTCGTAGGTTCGATTCCTGCTCTTAGCTGGTAATTTTTTCATCCACTTTTCTTTCTTCTTTCTTCTTACTTACATTCCATTGGTTCTAATAACTTCCCCTGTACATTCCTTGGCATTACTGTCTGTTATATCTCATTAATATTGTGTTAAAACACGGAAATACAAGCCTTTAGGTATACACTTCTCTCCCTTATATATATATATTTATATATATATCTATATATATATATATATATATATATATATATATATATATATATATATATATGTATATATAGATATCTGTGTGTGTGTGTGTGAAAGAAGTGTAGTTTTAAGGGCTCGTTTTCTGTGTTTTGACACAATGATGCCAAGTAAAGTATAGGGGAAGTTATAAACTGGATTGTGATGAAAATGTGAAGAAGGAAACGTGGGTGAAAAGGTGACTAGCCTTGGGCAGGAACCAAGCCTGCGACCTTCGAATAACGCGTTCGATGCTCTACCACTGAGCTACCATGGCGGCTATCCCCCCAGCCACTTTATTGGGTATATATGTGAATTTAAACGCGGAAATGTCAGTCAGCGCTCTCAGTAGCCATGACGGCGAGTGTGGCACAATCTCTATGAGCCTGTGTGATGTCAGATAGTATGTAAAATTATTACGAGCTGGCTGCTGATCAATAGTCCCTCGTATTATTGTTTGTTAGATGTCATAATATATATATGTGCGCGCGTGTGTGTGTGTGTGTGTGTGTGTGTGTGTGTGTGTGTGTGTGTGTGTGTGTGTGTGTGTGTGTGTGTGTGTGTGTGTGTGTGTGTGTGTGTGTGATGTAGGGTGACCCACTAGATGGCGCTGGACTTCACGATGAGGGAGCAGCCTGGCTCAATAATCACCGGCACCACGCCACTTCACTGCCGAAGCTAGCTTTGTCCAGACATATGCGCCTGCCAGACCACAGTTCTGAAGATATCAGCGTGACTCTTTTACTATCCGGTTTCTCAAACAGGCCTGAGCACAAACAGCGTGAGGCATATTTTATTTTCGAATTTGGAACATTCGTAGCCGACATCAACGAGGACCCGGGAAGACTCTCCTGCCTCCAGGAGGTAAGCTAGAAGGAAATCGGCAACAAAGATTCATAACTGCAGACCATGCTTCTTTTCTGGCTGACTCGTACGTGTACCGTGTTTTTTATTGTTGGTTTGGTTTTTCCACCTGTACATAAATGTGAAGTGTTTACGCTCGCCTACCGCTTGAAGGCAAAGGAGCGGATACGGGTTAATAGGACAGGTAAAGAACCGACAGACCCATCAAGGAGAAGCTCTTCCTTTACGCGCGGCGGCGCGGGCGCCTTCCGCCACCACGGCGGCAATATTGGGTGGCCCGATATACGTCCAGAACTGGCCAGCACAAGATGACAACCAGATGTGGACTTACATCGACTTTTGGATGTGCACAGTCCGGTTTTGTCCTCAGCATTCACAGTGCTTTTACTTTTATTTTTTTTTATTTTCCCTTTTAGAGTTCTCTCTCTTTCTCGCAACCAGCTTTGAAGGCGAGAGGGACACGGCAGCAACGAAGTTTGAGTATCTACGTTAGCCTAGCTGATCCTCTGACGGAGGGAGGACCCCTCGCGAAACAGTTGGGAAATAAATATGTTTATCCTTGTTGACAACGCTCTTGTTGTGTTACATCTCATATCTTCAATAAAAGAAACTTGCCCATTGAAAGATTTCTCTCAATATATATATATATATATATATATATATATATATATATATATATATATATATATATAGAGAGAGAGAGAGAGAGAGAGAGAAAGAGAGAGAGAGAGAGAGAGAGAATGTGAGCTATATCAATGGTATGACCCTCCACTGAGGAAGTGAGGAAGGCTTGGCATTTCTGACTGCTTTTTTGCAGACAAACATGGCTGAGGACAACATTGTGATCTCCGGATTTTCCGCCTATTTCCCCCAAGCCGATCACCTGGTGGAGTTCAAGGAGAAGTTGTACGCAGGTGTCGACATGGTCACCGAGGATGACTTACGATGGCCGCCCGGTGCGTTTTGTCAATTTCTAATCGATCCTAAGCTCTCAAAGTCTTGGGCTGAATTGTCGCTATTGTAGTTTCTCTGTTTATTAGAGCTCATAACTGTCCTTCTTCTACGTCATGTTGAAAGGCCTCAGGCATGTCGAAACAGCAAGTGACGGGCGCGTTTTCACTGTACGCAGTCTATACGCATGATTTTGAATGAATATCATTTATCTGTTTCGGTCACACGTAAATCTCGATGAATCTTTCCAGCTCACTGCCCTTTACCAAGTAAAAACAGCCGTAGCTTTGAAATCATTAAGAAATGCCACAACGAAGCCCCTCAAGCTACTGACTGTGTGGTTCAAAAAATATATAGATAAATGTTGTAGTTAATTTCATAAAAAGAGAAGTGTTTGCCACTCATCATGATATAACAAAGACTTTTTTCTACGACGTAGAAGCGTTCTGCAGTATCTACAACCAACTCATTATGCAAGCAACATGGTACTTTATATCTATTGCGTTTAAAGCTATAAAAAGCATTTGGTGTTTAGAGCCTTTTCAATGTATGCAGAAAAACAAATACCTTTCTAAATACGAAGACTACCGATACTTGTATTACAAACTTCATTGTGTTTTTTTTTCTCTTTATAAACCTACGCGTGCATTGAGTATGCTTTTAGATTGGTGTCGAAAGTGCACGTGAACCTAAAGAGCTACGTAGAGCATGCCATTACGCTTCCTGAGACCGGCGTGTAGTGTAGCGCTATGATCGCAACACATCCCATGTTTGCTGCATGAAAACAGCACAAAAACGGATCCGCATCCAGCAGCAGATGGCCATTTCGTGCTTTGCACGCGGTGTCATGTAGCCATCAGTGCCTCAACAAGCTTTTAAATTTTATGTTTTTGCTATGTTATTAGCATGTCCCACCTCCAGCGTTTCTCATGGCGGCTGTTCTTTTCATGAGGGCTGGTTTCTGTGCTAAGAAATGCCATAGAGGAGGCCAGCCATGGCGCCCCTCCCCTCAATATTTAGAGCCTTATCCACTTTGTAATATATTTAGCTGTTAGTAAAGATGCCAGTAGCGTTAAAAAACAGAGTTCATTTCACTCGGTGAAGATTGTGGCAGACTTTGTATGTGAATGCTTTGTGAAACCAGCAATATCGCACAGCACGAGACTCTTTCGTCCAGATCACAAAGGAAATGAAATTTCCTGAGACATTAGGGATTGGCGCCTTGTGTTTTAAAGAAGGGCACGTCTTCGGCACAGACCATGGCTCGGGGAGAAGATTGAAGAACTGAACTCATCCGGCAGTACTGAAGTCTATTGCGTGCTCTGACATTTTATTGCGATAGCTATAACATCGGCTCTCTCGACGGGCTTCCACCATCGGCGTCAACGTTGTCACCACCATCACGTTTCATATAAAGTCCAAATGAATAAGATCCGTCCACGGGTAAAAGCGTGTGAGCGGGGCACCGAATGTGGTTCAAGTAGAGATGATAGTGCTCACTGCTCTCTCAAGTCTAGTTTAACCACGTTCTCAGTGAATGCCCCACCCGTCGGGAAGAAGCATGTAGGGACGTACGAGGGATGTTATGCGTTGCTCGAACAGCAACCGTGAACTTCGATCATAAGGGTGCTGACGCGATGGCTGACGCACATGCTATCTCGGTATGCATCAGTCCACGGCTAGAATACCCTTCTATGCGCTCTGCTCTCTGTGAAGACTGCAAACACAGCAGCTCGTCCAGGAGCGGCCGCATTCTATTACACCAGCTTTTTGTAGAAATGCACAAGGTCGGATTCAAACTAGCTGCCAACCTTGCTATTGATTGGGTGAGTTGGTTTAGCATAATATGGTATTGCTACAGCACATCCGTTTGTTTGCGTTTTTCTTCACTGTTGCCACTCTACTTCATGCTCAAACTGGGCTGAGTTATAGCTATAAGACGCCTTACTTCGCATAACATTACAGTTGTTGCTATCTCACTCTGGTTCGCATTTGCAGTGGAACTAATTTTTGGTATCACTTGCCACATCTGCAAAGTATAGGCTTCGGTGGTAATGCACAATGCTCCCTGCTGACGTTTTTTTTTTTAGTGAACAGCAGAAATTGGCTCTCCTATCTGAAAAAAAACGTCACAGTTTTGCCGCAAGGACGAAGTAGAAAAGGTGATAAAATTTGTAATGTGACAAGAAGAACAAAAAGCACCAGAAAACTTTCAGCTCGCTGCTGAAGCACAAAGAACACGTGAAAAGAAAGCACACGTGTGCACTGGACTTTAGGACGACCACGAAGGAGCAACTGTAAGAGTTGTTACTTTGTTCGTGAGGAGCGTGCTGCAATTGCCACCTATGCCCAACCGACTAGCCCCTACTTTGGCTCTTGTAGCTAGCAGATCAAGCTTTTCGCAAACGCGGCCGCTACACCTAGCCAAGGGATCTTTGTTCGCTGCGTAACTTCAATGTAAACTTTGCGGCTAAAGCTCAACATGCTTGTGCAAACCACTGCTATCTTTTTATCTTACGTTCACTGCGCCCTGAAGGGCCATATACAGTAGATACAAGTAAGAGGCGTGCGCGTATTGCTTCTACGGTGAAAAACGAGTGCTGCGGCGACCTATGAAGCGCGGCCTTCGCGGTACCTAACTGATGTTAAATTGAACACTCTGAAGCGTCTTCGATCACTGCCTACTACCAGGTGTAAGTGTTATATGTAAACAGCTTACCATTAGTATGCTGAACAGCGTATGGTCCGTATTCGAGTATTTTAAAGAGGTACGTTGCGAAGCGAACGGTTCCAGTATTGATGTCGCGGTCGTGTGCTTGAGAAAATATTTCTTCTGAAATATTTCATCACGAATAAAATTAAAGTTCGGGCTACCAAGACTTCAGTGAAGTATTTTTGTCACAAAAATAACGTCGAAATGGCGTACACGATCGTATATGTCCAAAAAAGTGCCACGTTGGGCACCTAGGAAATAACTTCTCGGTCCTCAAGCGACCGAGGCCGAACATCCTATCTAACACACCAGGGTCACACGCAACCCACCACCTCTGTAAACACGCCTTTTATATCTCATACTTCCCTCTGACCGTAGTTTTAATCATGGCGTGGTGTCGCTCTTTGGAGTGGCATAGTGGAGTAATTCAGTACTGCGACCTTAGTGATTAGCACCTGAAACGCGTCCACTGTATTCAGTGCGTTGTCAACAGAAGTACGATGATGTCAAAGCCTTAACACACCACGATGAAGGAGGAAGAACAATCTTTACTTAACCTGGTAGTGACATATAAACCTTATCCCCGCCAGGCTGGTCGACATCCTTAGTTCATGACGCGATTAGTTGAAACCGCCACACAAGCCCGCCGGACCAGAGTTTGCTCTAGTGTAGAGCTATTGAGTAGGGTCAGCTCCCAGTACTGTTTGATGTTGAAAATTGTGGTTCATTTTGGACTCATTAAGCAAGCTTAGACCATATGGTAAGTGTTGGCCACTTTACCACAATAGTGGCACTGCTAACGTATTCTCGGATCGTTATATTTGAGCATGGTTGGACAGAGCAGCGTCAAATGTAGTCACAATCAGTGCTGATCGAGCGGTCACAGATTTATCACATACATGGAATACGACAATTGGAATCATTACATCTCAGGTCACCTCGGCCTACCTACCCGACACGGCAAGATCCGGGACCTGTCTCGCTTCGATGCGCAGTTCTTCAGTACGCACCCGAAGCAGGCGCAGTTGCTAGATCCTCAGATTCGACTGCTGTTGGAGACGTCGTACGAGGCTATCGTGGACGCGGGATACGACCCCGAAAGCCTGCGTGGACGTCCCATCGGCGTATTTATAGGTGTTTCCACCAGTGAGACGAGTGATGCTTGGAGGGCGAACGCACAGAGGGCTGATGCCTACGGATTGCTCGCCTCCTGCCACGCGTTGTTTGCCAACCGAATCTCGTACGCCCTGGACTTTCATGGTAATAGAGATGTATTTTACTGCTTACTGGACGGTGCATGATTGTTTTCAATATGTTAGTAAGGAAAGGTGCTGAATAAACTGACTCGGTAAAGTACTTGTGGGTGCAGCATCCAGACAGGTGCAGGAAAGAGCTTTGTGAACTGAGTGAGCCAAATACACGTGCAACTGCCAAAATTATTCCAAGCTTGTTCTTGGCATACTAGGTGATCTACACGAGGCATGACTAACGTCAAAATTTAATAAAAGCCTACTAAAACACGCAAGTCGTTAAAGTTTGTTCGTCTTAAGACCCAAATATAATATGGAGTGATCAGCGCAGTCAGTGACGGTGACCAATTCGGCACTCTAGAGAGCGATGCCCTCACCATGCCACGACGAGTAGCTTCGGAGTGGTGCACGCCTAAGCCACCAGACAATATGTTATGACGCGAGGCTGCGCTTTCTCTAGTTTTCCCCGACGTAGCGCGTGTATTGTTACGCGTATGCACTACGCAGGACTACATCTAGGCCACTTGGTCTTCACTCCTGCTCCTGTCTCCTTTTTAGGAGACTAGACTTTTAATGACTGTTCTTTTTTGCTTTATTGCCTGTTTTCAGACACTATGTAGAAGAACGATGACGTAATGGTCACGAAACAAGTTCTAGCATTCTTACTGATCATACACTAATTTCAACATTCCTTGAGAGCTGTCAGGGGTTCCACCCTCGACAACCACTCAATACCAGACCTATATGGTTTCTTAAGTTCTACGAGTTTCACCATGCAAGCTCAGAAGTACATTACTGTGGGTCGTGCATTTGAACCACAGTGAAATCCTGTCATACGGGCCCACCGATACACAGTAGTTCCCATTACCAGTCACCTTCAAGTGACCTTGAGCCAAATGCTTGTGCCATTGTGCATCGAGCAAATGTGCGTATGACTTAGCGTGGCAACTGTAACACCAAGAAAGGATTTCGTTTGTTAAGAAAAAAATGTTTAACAATTTCGAGTACTTCGTACTCAACCATGGGAAAGCAGTAAGCCGTCCCGCTAAAAGGGAGCATGAGTGTGTTTAGAAAAAGTAGAAAAAAAACTTTGCTAGCGGCCTTGGAAACGAGCTTTAGCGTCAATGAATTCGCTATAGCGCGATTTTAAGTTGGCAGCCCTTCTTATGGGACCCATGATATACGCCTGTTGGGGTCCAAACAAATTAGAAAGCGAGCTAAACCGAAGGTCATTGTTCCATTTTTACACTGTGAATGAAGCCATAACTTTCAGGGCACTGAAACGTTATTTACAATTTAAAATATTGACGTTCGAAATTTCGATAGGGCTCCGTACACTTATTATAATAAAGGAACACTACACAGAAAAATGGAAACACGATGTTTTGTGTATTGGTAAAGTACCGTTTCGTAGTCGCGAGAACGCAACTCTTACCGTGAGCCGACGCATGTTAAGAGAGCGAACGCGCGAAATGAAAATGTGGGTGTAGAAGTGACCTAGAGATTCTCGCACCAAACACCATGACGTAGATTTTGACAGAGTCTACCAAATCATACATTTTAGATGCGGAAGCATCTTATACTCGCGCCTTGTAGTGCGCCGTCCGCGCCGTCCGCGCCGTCCGCACCGCTTCTCGAACATTCGACAGCTGACGCGCGCGCATGCGCCGTCGCGCCGTCGCCCACTCTTCCACCATCTGTGCATCCCTTCCTCCTCTACACACCGCGCGTGCTTCACTCCTCCACCATCTGTGCACCCTTCCTCCTCTACACACCGCGTTCGACATCTACAATTCTCCTGATTCTCCAGTGGACACGCATGTGGCGTCGCGCTTCGAGAACATTCAACAGCTGACAGTGCATGCGCCGTCGAGCTGTATATATACTCAAGGTCGGCGCTCGCTCGCTCAGTTGCCGCTCGTCGGTTGGTTTGTACGGCGCGTCGACGTCCAAGGTCGCGGTGAAATGAATTCCAACGAATCCACAAACACAATGATCGACGTCCCTTCGACCAGCGCCGCCCTTTCGCATACGTGTGTACGTGTTCACTCATTTAACACCCCCTCCTACAACCACGTTAACCAATTTAGCCATCGACCCAAGTAAGTCGCAATTTAACACCCCATTTCACAACCAAGTTAACCAATTTAGCCATCGACCCAAGTAAGTCACACTTTAACACCCCGTTAACCAATTATATGCTCCGCATCCTCCTCAGTGTTCCCCCGAGGGAAGCTGCGGGCAATTTTTTTCTTATTCTGTAAGATTGAAGTACATTGTCCCTTGTCGAAGCCGTAGACTGAACGAAATAAATTTCAGAAAACTTCACCGGGCGAACGTCGCCAAAATGCAAAAAAACTCATAAAATTTGTTACGTCACGTGCGAGAACATAGGCTAGAGAACTTAAAAAAGGAAACTTCAACCTAGATTTTGCCCTCTAACAAAAAACCGATTATGACGAAATTTACGCTATTAGCATTCCCACAATAATTTTTATCAAAATACAGAATACCCTTAAACGACAGCGCCAAGCTTCTCAATTGATATTGCGGGGTTTAACCTCCCAAAACCACCGTATGATTATGAGAGACGCCATAGTGGAGCGCTCCGGAAATTTCGACCACCTGGGGCTCTTTAACGCCCACGCAAATCTGAGCATACGGACCTACAGCATTTCTACCTCCTTCAGAAATGCAGCCGCTGGAGTCAGGATTCGATCCTGCGACCTGCGGGTCAACAGCCGAGTACCTTAGCCACTAGACCACCACGACAGGGCAGCGCTAAGCTTCTGCTTTTTAGAAATCCTACTGTAGGCAAGTAAAGAAGAGTCAACTTTTTCTAGAAAGACGGCGCAGGTCTCAAGGCGGCTTCACATAGATTTAGGCTATGCATGTGCAGTGACCCTTTCCGCCCAGGCGGCAATCGCTAGTTGCTTTTCCCTAAAGGGAGTTCTAATGAACTCCTCTCACGCTGAATGTGAATAAGCTGGCAAAAGCGTTCACAGCCCACGTTCACTCACCAACTCACTGCCGTAAGCAGCAGTGCTTCGGTTTGATGCATTCCTGAATTCCCCAGCATGACACCTTACTGCATTGTCATCTCTACTCGAGTTCACTTGCCGGCTTTCATCATACAATATATCTTGTCCAAACAAGCCGGACTCCGCTCTTTTGCGGTGGCTGAGCGGTAGGAGCTATGGGCACGTGCGTGTCTATCTGTCTGCTTGCCTACCTGTATATATGTCCATCTGTCCGTCCGTCCGTTTGCCCATCCGTCCATTCCTCCGTCCGTCCATCCGTCTGTCTGTCTGTCCACCCGTCTGTCTGTCTGCCCATCCGTCTGTCTGCATGTCCGTCTGTCTGTATGTCTGTTCATCTGCCCATCTAATGAGCACTCCAAGTTCCGCCATCTCGCATCTTTTCGTGATATATTCGTAATATAGAAGTACCACCATCCAGTGGACATTGCCAGCACGAAATAGAGAGGTGGCTACTACATACCGAAGACACACGACTCGCAGCTTAAAGAGCTTCGCCCTTAACAAGCTGCGTGCATCTTCCCACGGGGAAACTCGAGTAATTGCGACGAAGAGGGGGGGGTCGCGTGAATGTTGCGTAATTGAGTATCATTTGGGAACGCCTAATTGTTATTTCATGTTTATTTTTCTTATTTATTCACTGAAGGAGAAGCGTTGCCTTCAACGCGTAGTGGGACGCTGGTGTGTGATCCAGGGCCTACATAAACGCGGTGGCCAGTAAACGGTTGTGCAGCTTGAGCAGTCAGTTTTTAAATGCGAAGCATTCCTTAGCGAACTTCGGCAACTTTGAGCGTATCTATCTATCTATCTATCTATCTATCTATCTATCTATCTATCTATCTATCTGTCTATCTATCTATCTATCTATCTATCTATCTATCTATCTATCTATCTATCTATCTATCTATCTATCTATCTATCTATCTATCTATCTATCTATCTATCTATCTATCTATCTATCTATCTATCTATCTATCTATCTATCTATCTATCTATCTATCTATCTATCTATCTATCTATCTATCTATCTATCTATCTATCTATCTATCTATCTATCTATCTATCTATCTATCTATCTAGCTGTCTACGAGCTTTAGTTCTACTGGCCGTTTCAATATTGGTATCGATACCAAACTTGGTATGGCATAACATGACTGCATGAAGAATGTATTTGAACTACTCACAACATGACAATCATGACATGTGTGTCATGAATGTCATGATTTACATATCATGGTCCTGCATCCATTGCGTTGGTTTCGTTCACATGGCATGCTGCAAAAATAATATGCTATGACATGATTACATGGCGAACACAAACTACCGACCCTAACATGACAATCATGACATGCGTGTCATGTAACAACATGACAACATGCTACGTTCATGATGCGTTCGCGGCCGTTTCGCTAGCTTCGCATGTACCAAACTCGGTATTACGCAACGCGAACGTACGACATAGGTAAATGACATATTAAAATATGCTAATCACTGCATGCGTGTCATGTAGCAACATGTCTACATGCCACGCTTATGATGCGCTCGCGGCCGTTTCGCCAGCTTCACATATGCCAAGTTTGGTATTACGTGACGACAATAGATTACGAAGGTACGTGACTGGTGCGAACATGATAATCATGAAAAGCTCGTCATGTGAGAACATGACTACATGGCACAGTCAAGGTGCCGATACATCTCGTCATGACGTGGTGCGTGCGCTCGCTGACGTTCATTCCATCGCGTCACGCCGGTGTTGCCTTGCCAGGCGCCGGTCCTGCAATATACTCGAAAGCGCGCACCACGCTGCGTTGCTTTGGCGCATGCACGTTTCAGAGCGTATCGCGTCCCTCCGTCACGAAAAGAGGGAGACGCAGTGTTGTCTGGGTGATGTATGGGCGCAAAATGAAGCATTTCGGATTTCGCACCGGCTGCCATCGGGTCACGCCGACGGACGTGCTCGCGTTTTGCTTACGTAGCGTCGTTGTGCCCAGCGTACGCGCGCGTCATCGCCATATTGAACTATATTGTGCCCTTCATGATGCGGTCGCGGTTATTTTGCTTGCTCCACATATACAACATTTGGTGTTACGTGACGTTTATAGATGATGAAATATATGACTGGTGCAAACATGATAATCCTGACACGCCTGTCATGTAAGAACATGACAACATACCACGCTCATAGCGTGCTCGCGGCCATTTCGCTGGCTTCACATATACTAAATTTCGTATCACGTGACGTGAATAGATGAAGGAGGTAAACGACACATCTAAACATAATAATCGTGACACGGAAGCCATGTATGGCATCACTTACCTCCAACTCGTAAACGTTGCACTGATTTTAAAGTGACTTATCAACCTTTCTCATTCGTGCTTCGCATATCATCGATTCTCACTGTACGTGGGATATGCCAATTTTTTCTAGCAGACACTGGCTGTGTCGCCTTGGGGGGTGAGAGAGGGGGAAGAGGAGGAGCAAGCGACAGTAGGCCTGAGACGCAAGCAAGTGGCACGAGACGGTAAGCGCGAGCGTGCGTACGGGGGCGGACACCTCAGCCACTGAAGCCGGATTTGCGAGAAGGTGTGCCTATAAAATACGCCGCATTAAAATAAAAAAGTACGAATACACCGCCCAGCGAGAAGACCTCCAAAAGAGCGGACATAGTAGGTATTTGGCATGCAACATATATAGACAAAGGGTGCGCTGCTCGCCGAGCTCCAGCGAATAAGTGGAGGTCGAAGTAAATGATGCACTGAGAGGATGTAAGGAGGATCGCGTCTCAACAGTAACGGCTCAACACGTGACATTCTGCGGGGCGATGACGTAATAAACAAGGTTTGCCATGGCTTCGTTGCGTGGTCACCGCCAGTTTTCAATCAAAGTGCGCTTGCTCAGGGTAGTTCGGGCGGCTCAGTGACAAGGCTGAAAGACAAAACGTTGCTAGGAGTACAAAAAGGTTCCGCACACTCTACGTTATGATCACGTGTTGGTCCAACACAGTGAACTTCATTCAGTGGCATTGCGCAACACTCACTCTCGACTTATTGTCCTTCATGGTTGTCCGCATACGATAAGCAAAGGGTGAGAAACATTTCGCAGTCTCTGCAATAAAATTATGCACCATCTTTCCGAAGGGAACCCTGATGAAACGCGGAGCAGTAGTGGTGCACGCGGAGTTGACCCTGTTGAAACGGGCGTTGACGCGAACGCTGAAAGAACTTTTTGAAGAGAAACTTGGTGTAGAGTTTATTCGAGTGAACGTTTGTTTGAAACCACGGCAAGGACATGGAAGGCGGGTTGGGTTTCTTGCAAGTTTCATCACAGAAATATTGTTCCCTCAATGTGCGCTTCAACGTTGTGAGTGGTGGAGAGGACGACGAGAGAGAGATGACACGCGGCGAGCGGCGACTGGCTGGGAATAGGGACGTCAAGGCGCGCGCACTGCGAGGAAAGGCGCGGCTTACTTGGCACCGCCCCAACACCTGCGGCCAGGGTAGCGCAGTGCAGACGGAGAAATGGGGTTCCACAGCTAGTCAAAGAGCTGCTTCGCATCTAATATTGGCGTCTGTAGGGCGATTTTACAGCACTATAATGTCAACCTGTGCACTGTGACAGCAGAATATTGCTTGTATATGAACAAGCTGCGTTCCAGAAGGGCCCGATAATGCCTATAGCGAGGTGTGAATTGCTCCGCAGTACATTGCAAGCCATGAATATTTTGAGAAAACAATCGCTCATTATTACTGAGGGCACTCAAACCTAAAGGAAGTCATGTTTTGACATTACATGTTCATAGAAAGAAGGTTGATGCGTTGCACAACTTTTGTTTGTCTCACATACCTCATGTTATTGTTCTAGGGCAAATTTTAGCCCACGTGCGTGCGCCTCACCGTGGCAACTTTAGTTTTTTGATGGCACTAATGTCATATCAGGTTGTAACATGTTTACCCTCCAACAATACGCAGGCCCCAGCATGGCGGTCGATACGGCTTGTTCATCGACCATGACTGCCTTACATGAGGCAGTGCTGGCGCTTCGCTCGGGACGCTGCGAAGCAGCCATCGTTGGAGGAAGCAATATCACCCTGGAACCCACAATATCCCAAAGCTTCCAGCGGCTTGGCATGCTCTCTCAGGATGGAAAGTGCAAGGTGTTCGACGCTGATGGTGCGTGCCATATACTACCATGTACCGTGCACAGCTTTCTCGCAAAGAAGTGATTGAGGTTTAACTATTTTAGGCCTAGTTACCAGGAGCCAAAGTATGTTTCGATTACTGTCTCTTGTTGGTTGGTTGGTTGTTCCTCAACACCTTGGCGCAACCCACCTAAGGAGATAAGCCATGATTGGGACAGTGCCTTTCTTTTTAAATTACTTCACTTCATTAAAGGGAGGGTAGCAATAATTATGTAATATATGTAATATTATAGAGGTGTTCGATTTCTAAACAAACAAAAAGCCTTGAAAAGAAAAACATAACAAACACACAGAAAAAGAATAAAATCTATACATAAAACAACTGAAGTTATCTATTTTTAGCATACCATTCTTTTGATTACTCGTAAGAAATTTGTAACAGCGGTAAAAACGCTCCTGTGGGTAAAACCAAATGCGACTGCGCCAAATGAAATTATCACCAGAAGTGTCAAATTTTAGGTCCAACTTTCGTAGGGGTTCTTCTAGTAGATTTTTCCTTTGACTTTTGAATTCTGGCATGACAAAAAGAAATGCTCCCAAAAATTCACTCTCATTACAACTGTGCCAGACCTGACCTGTGAGGTAAAAGTTCAATGAAGGGACTCTACAACGCAGCCTTGTAATTAACATTTCTTCCTTTCTTGATGAACACCACTTGTTCTTCCAAAGGAACCTTAGCTGTGGATAGTCTGATAAAAACAAAGGAGATTTTTCGAAGTTATTGGCCGTTGCGTTTTTCAAAGCGTGCTGCAGTGATATATTCCGAAGAAGGCAAAATAGGTAAAATAGGACAATCGAGGAAAGACACAGCTCGTGAATCTGCATGCTCATTAAAAGCTAAACCTCTATGGCCTGGTACCCAAACTGGTCGAATGAGTCGCACATGTCTAGGAATGAGTGAGTAGAACGTTTCTAAGGTACGCGAAAAAGTTGGTGAGCCTAAGGCAGTACAAAGCGAGAGAGAGCCTGTTAGAACAATCACCGCTGATAGATCTTGGGGTACTTTACGCAATGCTAGGACTATTGCCAGTAGCTCAGCTTAGTAAATAAGGGTAAAGTCGGGTAATATAATTGAGAAAGCCCAATCTAGAGAGGATGACACAATTCCTACGCCGGCCCTCTTTTCTTAAACTGAAGCGTCCACCGTATTCCAGTGGATGTTTCTATATTGGCCAAATGATCTTCTAAAATGCCATTTATATACTGATATCGTAAATTTTTTGCATTCTTGGGATACGTATCATCAAATTCAATTCTGATTGCATCTTCAGTGTTAAGTGCAAGTATTTCTTAAAGGATAACTCTTAAGAGGACAAAACGTTTCTGTGTATATATTACTTCAGGGCACCGCAGTTTAAACCATTGGTGGTTTAAAACTGAAGTTTGCTGGTAATGAATGATTTTAAGGAACGTTCGTACTGTTAGAATATGAAATATTATGATAAGAGAAGGCAGGCGGGATTCTTCGTATAGGGTATTGCTCGCAACATAATTAGGTAGCCCTAGGTATAAGAGTAAAGCTTCGCGTTCTAACAGAATCAGTGGTAGAACTTTGTAAGCCGGAGCGCCAGAAAACAAAACGCAGCCGAATTCTAATACCGGTCGAATGTACATGCAATATATAATGAGGAGCACGTCTCTACGCAAACCGACACTATAAATACTGAGCCTGCGCAGCTTCTCTACGGCACGTGCTTCTTTAGCAGCCATGTTTTCTATCTGGCGACTACAGGTAAGTGTTTCGGTGTAGGCTACCCCCAAGTATCTAACTGACTCGACCTGAGGCATGGCGTCTAGTCGGTACATTAGTGAAATTCGCACTGGGGCGTTTTGTGTGGAAACTATTATTGTGCGTTTGTTTAAATTGAGGCATAGGTTGATATCCTCCAGCCACATTTTCAGGCTATTCATGTATGTCTGCAGAATCAGATACAGTGTGTGAATAACCACCGACGCATAAAAAAATGTGATATCATCGGCATACACATTGATCTGTACACCTTGCTGAAAGGAAATGGTGCATAGCAGTGCAATAAATAATAAGGGAGATAGTACTGACTCTTGCGGTAGACCTCTCGTTTGCCTTTATATTGAAGAGTTGACACCAGATTGCGAGCAGTAAAATTCTTTATCACCTTAAAAGCAGGGATCCTGGCCACAAAGTATTGAGGCAGTCCTAAGTTCTGAAGCGAATCTAGCAGTTTAACATGCTCCACGCTATCATACGCTTTTGTGATACCTAAGGTTACCAAAGCGGAGTATTGTTTCTGATATCAATAAATTTGAATCTTGCTTTCGAAATCCACGGGCGCACACCAAATGAAGCAACCACGTCTGAATCCAATTTGACATGGGCTGAGTGTCAATTTTTATGACATCGATCGATCTATGCGTCTATATAAAATTCTTTTAACGAGTTTTACTAGGTTCGATGTAAGTGCAATGGGCCTGATATTATCTAAGGTCAACCCAGTGCCTCTCTTTCTTTAATAATGAAATTGCTTTTGCCATTCTCCAATTGGGTGAAATCCAAGAACTTCTAAGATAGTGATTAATATTGTGAGTAGGTCAAGAAGGTATATTTTATGTACTGATTTTATCACCGACGTCGTCATGCCATCCGGACCAGGAGCAGAATGGGGTAGTGTTCTGACTACGTTTTCTAGTTCTGCAGGTGTGACCTCTTCAAAATCCTCAGCCCTATTGGGGGCCTGGGCTTTGTGTGAGAGAATTGTCGTAAAGCGACTTTTTAGGCCCAGAGCTGTATCTTCTAGAAAGACATTTAGTTCAACGGGTGATGATACTACAGATTTTATTTTTTTTAGTACCAGAAAAACTTTCTTATTTCTCAGAAAACCAAAAAGTGCTTTCCTATTGACCGACTTTGAAATGATCTCACATCGGTCGCTGTTAAATTTGTCCTTTGCAATAGCGATGGTTATCATGAAAATAGCGGCCGCATACTTATATTCACTCCAGTTCCTGAGACACTGGTTGAAAATTAATTTTTTCCATGCAGTTTTTCTTACTCTGTAAGGCCGCGAACAGTCTGCATTCCACCAAGGGTTGGTAGAAGGTTTAGAGCTTTCAGGGGTAAATTTTTAATTCCTCAACGACTCCTTTAAAATATCGCTTACTCTGATGACGTCTAGCTCCACATCATTCGTTCGGTTAGATAAAGCGCCTCGTAATGATTTCTTGGGTGTAATAAAGTTTACATGCGTAACTGATGAATATATTTTAAGAGGTTATTGTAAATACCACCTCAAACAATATTGGCATATGGTCACTACTTGTTCTCGAGCTAATCGCAGACCATGATAAAATAGACAGGTTAGCGTTAGAAAAAGTTAGATCAAGCACCGAGGAGGACTGATTACACATAAAACTAGGAGGTTTTGTGTTTATGCATATAAAGTTATTCTTGTTCACACAATTTCACAAACGTTCGCCCTTCAAACCAGTTTTAAAACCCGACGAAATATGATGAGAATTGAAATCACCTACTAATAGAATATCTTTTTGGCAATAGTAAACTGCAGTATCTAGAACGGAAGATTTCAGAACACCTGCGAGAAAATAAGCATTAATAAATAGGAATGGAGTAACTCAGGATTAGTGATCCTTAATTCAGAAATCTCGCTTTTCGAAGTCATTGACTGATAGATAACTTTAGCTCTATGGGCGATTTTAGATGAGATAAATATTGCCATACCTTCACCCTGAGTTTGGCGGTCTAGAGGAAATGTGCGGTAATCTTTAATTCTAAAATACCTATTTTCTGCAAGCCAAGTTTCTTGTAAAGCAATATTATCAGCGGAATAGTTATCGCGAAGTCGAAGTAAGTCTGTAGCTGCTGAAAAAATATAGAGCGACAATTCAACGGCAGTACTTTTCAATTTCCTATTTTGAAGGGATACCAGCAGCACTCACTGCTTTCTCTAAGATGCTATCCTTTAAAAAATCCTTCTTTGATGGATTTTCCTACCGGTTTTTCTTATTTCTTGATTTAGGACTAACTGAGGAGCGTTTGACCTCAGGAGAAGCACGTCTTTTCCAATATCTTGAGTCAAAGTCCATTTGTTCTGGTTGTGACACATCGGAATCGGAGTCCGAGCTCCAATTTAAATAATGAAGAATAGGCATAATTATTCTATGGCCAGAGTTCAGCGTGCCTGGCTTTGACTTCGAAGGGCCTGGTTCCGATGGAATATCAGTAACCTTAACTGGTGAAGGTAGAAAAGGGGGCACGGTAAGTTGGTTACCTCCCTGCAAGATTTGAGTCAACTGAGTGCTCATTATTTGTGCCAATGACTCCGTTAGGCTCACGAATAGAGAATCCATAAGCTTCGTCACGGCCTTTTCCACCGTTGATGTTATTAGATGAGGCAACGACGACTCAAGCATCTGGTTTGCCTGGTTGGCACTGGTGCCATGGCCACGTGAGCGCTCAGAGAGAATAGATCGGGCCTCCCGCTGGGTGCATTGTTGTTTTTCGATGATCTCTAGAAGTTGCAACTCATATGTCCTCACGGGACAACTTTCATTGTCAGCTGCGTTATTTCCTCTGTATAGGCAGCACCTCACCTCTCAGGTTGAACATTGATCGGGTTTATGTTGGTCAGTACATGTGTGACACCTCACATCCGATCTACATCCCTTGAGGGTATGCCCATAGCTCCAGCATTTTTTTTGCACTGCAGTGGGTGAGAAGATAGTGCATCTACACGATAAATTAGTGGCCCGGCCTTAATTTTGGTTGGTCAAGCCGCGCCGGCAAAAGTTACAATCGCTAATTCTGTGGGGACCTTTTTGTTCTCAATGTTTCACGAGCATCGAAATACAGAGACTGCTCCTGCAGCCACAAACAATTCAAGTATTTCAGGTGGTGTAAGGCTCAAGTCCACACCTCGAACTAGTCCCTTCACACAGGCCAAATGGACAGGCACGAAACAGCTCAACAGATTTGAGGCAAAAGTTGTGCATTTGAGGAGATCTGTGATGCAGGCCTGGTCCGGCGAGCAGCACAGGATGCCTCCACATCCAAATTGACGCACATCGGTAATCATTTTGTAATCATCGGAAGATTTCCGGAGCTCTTCCTGAATTAATTTCGGATTTTTCATGCGAATGGACTCGCCATTGGTTGGAACCAGGGCCACAGGAACGCTCTTCAGACCACCGTGCAAAAACAGATCGATTGGCAAATCCCTGTTAGGAAGGGACGCCGACCAGGCAGAATATGCCTGGCCGGGAGAGGAGAGAGACATCAGGTTTATAGGCTTAACCGCACCGCCCGATCCGGCCGCACCCCCACAGGAGGAAGCGTGAAGGTGCCCTTGAAGTACCAGCGGAGGTAGATCTCGAATTGAAACTGCACATTTTATATTGTGTGCGTGGCACTTAAGATACACTTCTTCTTTTCTTTCTTAGGAATGCTGTGCGACGGTGGCGGCAACAGCTTAGAGTTTGGCACGCTTTCATGCTTAGTATGTCAATATCACTATCCCAGTGCAATAATCAATATGTCAATTGTCATTATGCCTGTAGCAATATAAAGAACAGGAACATATATTGTGGTTGTTGTTGTTGCCTCTAACATCGCTTAACCCACTCATGGGGATCAGCCAACAGTTGATGTCAAGGTTGCCTTCTTTTTCACCCGTTAATGACACACTAAACCTGATGATGACTGTTGGTGCGCTGTGAGAGACGGTCGTCACCTTCTATTTTCACCAGCAATCTTCTCTAACACGGGCTAATCTCACCTCAGCCTACTCCATTGTTTCAGCACGTAACTTTGCAGTTACGCAGGATTTAACAAACTGACGTCGAACTTTATAAACGGGAATAATTGATTCAGATTGTCATCGGTGCTGAATCACATGCACAGAAGGCGCAGCTGGCGCACCATCCATGGCTAGAACTGGCGGTCAAACGCTGGTGAAGCGGCCGTAAAATATTAGCTTGTTCAGGCGGTGTTTCATCTGCGACGCTTTACCACAGGGGATCACGTAGCGTGCCGGGACATCCGCAACGCTTGGGCTACGAGTGCCCGATCTAATTGCGATGCGATGGCCCAAAGAGACAGCTTTGTAAGTTGAATTCACTTACGACGATACCGGTTTTAACAATACATTGGTTATAAAAACGAGGAGCTGTTGCACCACAAACTCTTTATAAGGTGAAATAACCGGCTTACAGCAACGCCTGCATACCAAATTACAGGTTATAACATTGTAAAAAATAAAACTGCAAGATCTTAACGTTATAGCCAAAATTGCGTCAGTCTGAAAATAAAAAAATACCGCACCAATTTCCCTTTATTTATGTCATCAACGACGTTTTGATAATACCTTTCATTAAAAGCTTTGTCAAGGATGGTTTGATGAGCAAATTAGTTTCATCTGTTCGTGATGGTAACAATCATAAAACTATAGCCGCCTACTACGGATTGCAAATGACAGCACTACATCACGAACTTTGTAAAATCATGTTTTGTAAGATCATGGTCAAAAATTTTTTTGTTTATTATGAGAACACAACAATCGATAAGTCCTCTATAAATGGAGTAGGCGATCTCGGCAGTGTTGCGATATGTGAAAATTACTTGCCTCTATGCTTATTCAGAGTCGCTTAAAGTTACCTTATTCGCCATTTCTGTACTGTTCTCCTATAACTGTTGGGCTGTGGAGAGGTTGATGTCCATATTACCTCGGCTACTCCGAGTTCTACAGTGGAAACAATATTAACAAAGGTTATTGACAAAACGAACAATACTGCAAAAAAAAGAAATCACCATATTAGCACACTGAAATAAGTTGAAACAACATGGCAATGTAAATTTTGCTTGCAGCAGTTCACACTGTCATAAAACGTACACATGCACACCTTTCTATTTGTCATCACAGAATATTACTAATATATCATTCCATATATCACACCTAGCTGTATGTCATAAACGTTTATTTTTGTTGCTCATTTTTATTGGTGAGCTGTTGCTGCGGATAACACTCGCCATGAGGATGACTGCGTAGAATTTTCTATGGCTTATGCGTTATAACGCGGTTAAGAAGAGTGTTTATGCTGGACAAATTACCGAGTGGGCTCTTCGCAGGCGATGGCTACGCCCGCAGCGAGACCATCGGTGCGTTTTTCCTCCAACGGGCCATCGATGCGCGTCGGGTGTACGCAAAGGTCGTCAATGTCAAGGTCAACACGGACGGATACAAAGCCGAAGGTGAGTCGCTCTGCTATACGCCAAGTACGGAGAATATTATCTTTTCTACTATAGCACATATCCATTGTCCCTGCGTGATTGAAGAAATGGTCCCGTTTCATTTCTCCAGTGCAGTACGTAGAGAAGCGATGAATAACTCAATGACTTTTGTGCGGGGTTCTATTTTACTATGAAATTCAGGCAACTCGACTAACATTCAGTTCTATGCTAAAAGATATATTATACGAAAGGCGAATTCAAGCGCTGTTTAAGCTGATTAGGAGGGTCGGGACAATGACCACATACGAAAAATAGTCAGCGTCAGGAGCTGTGGGACGAATCAAACAGCCTGTTTTGCAAATGGGTAGTTCTTGATGGGACTAGGAGCCGCATACCCAAAGCCCCTTGTTCGTGCTTTCCCGATTAGCCTGAATCTTTTGCTTGTGATAGATGGTTGATTTTTCTTCACATGAGCAGTTCTTGTTTACTGATTTTTCGTTAATACAGGGTTAGAGTTGCTCCCTTGAGCTTTCCATACTTATCTGTTCCTGAAAACTATTCCAGAAGGTGATTTGCCATGAGATACACTTGAATTTACACGGAGAGCAGGTGGGGGCACCACATTTAGTAAAGGACGGGGCACAAAAAATTTAATCGAGTCATTTTCCGCATAAAGCGAGTCATTTTGTGTGGTTTTTATGAATACTACAGAATGACGTTTCACACAAGACAGGTAACCACAGCCTCTAACCGATACGTAAGATGCGGTGCGAATTTATCCATACATTTGTTTTCTGCATTTTAAGAGCCACAGTTTTTCGAACAAGATATAGCGACAAGTGCTGCTCAATCCCTACGACAAAATTATTGCTCATTTACTCAAGTTGGCTCAGGCAAAGGCAGATTTATAGCTCTCTTGAAGCGGGTCTCATAGATGAACTAGAAACTGCCAAATAATTTATTGTTTTCAGCAATATATGAACATGCTGAAAACGGACGGTGAGTCAGTTTCAATGATGTTGTTAATAATAATATAAAGGGGGTTTATTGAAGGAACTGAGCAAGTGGGTGGTAGCTCGAAAGAAACGCAGGTGGACCCAGATGACGGTGCTTGATCGCCGATCTTGTGCCTTTTTCTTTGGTTGATGATAGTTGAGCCGATGGTATAAACGTCTTACTTATTCACTATAATTCCCCCCACCGAAAAAGTTTCAGCCATCCTGGCAATCTAACACTTGGGGACAAGTGGGTAGAAGTAGGGCTTGAGACGGTTTACGTTAACAATATCACGTCCACGCAGACGACGGTCGCCCGGTGGCGTGACGGGTTCAATGGCGTAGTTCATGGGTGAGGTACGCTCGACCACACGGTAGGGACCATGATAATTGGAGATTAACTTGGGTAATACACCAGGAGCGCAGGATAGTACATGCAGCCATAGAAGTGCTTCAGGAACGAACGTTGGTGCAGAACGATGGTCATCGTCACTGGCCTCCTTCTGGCACTGAAGGTCGGCTGTAGTAAGCTGCTTGGCAAGCTTGCAGCACTCTTCTGCGTAACGTGCGGCTTCCGAGACAGGCGTGCATTCGGAGGGATCTGACGAGTATAAAGTGTCGATGGTGTGCGATGGTTGGTGACCGTACAGGAGAAAAAAATGAGGAAAACCCGGTAGTGACTTGCGTAGCGGTGTTATACACGTATGTCACAAATGGGAGAACGAGGTCCCAGTTTGTTTGATCAGGAACTACATGCTTCGTGAGCATGTTCCCCAGAGTACAAATAAACCACAAAGTCAAACCATTCGTCTGTGGGTGGTAGGGTGTAATCTTTCGGTGTACAATATGGCACTGTTGAAGAAGTGCTTGGATTACATCGGAGAGGAAAACACGCCTTCAGTCACTGAGAAGTTCGCCAGGAGGATCATGACGAAGCACAAAGTGATTAGTATGAAAGTTTTGACGTCTTGTGCTACAGCTGTGGGGAGAGCAGACGTTTCAGCCTACCGTGTAAAATGATCCCCAGCCACGATAGCCCAATGGTTGCCTGCCGTTGTCAATGGTAGTGGTCCGTAGAGGTCAATTCCTACACGGTCGAATGGGCAGTCTGGGCATTAATGTGGCTGCAATGAACCTGTTGCAGGATGTGGTGGGTTTTTGCGCCGCTGACATTCGTGGCAGCCACGAATGAACTGGCGGATGAAGGTAAACATTCCACGCCTGTAATCTCTTTTTCGTAGGCGCTCGTGGGTCTTGAAAACAACAGCGTAAGCACAATTGTGGCTCGGAATAAAACGATGCGCAGAAAGTAGAGTGCAGCGCTCGGACAATGACTAGTAGCCATTTTCAACCACCTGCTAAATATTATCACCGGTACAAAGAGCAATGCCAAATACTAAAGTTTGGAGCCTGGCGGCGCAGGGTTCCAGTGGTTGGAAGTGTCGGTGCTTCAGACAACGCCTAAAGAAGCGAAGCGATCCATGGGTCATTGCATTGTGCAGAAGATATGGTGGCCTCGTCAAGAGCCGACAACGTGTTGCCCGAGAAAACAGGTGCAATGTCCGGGCATCGGGGAAAATGCGAAAGTGCATCAGCATCGGTATGCTTGCGGCCGGAACGATATACAAGGTGGATGTCAAACTCTTGAAGCTGAAGAGCCAAATGGGAAAGACGACCCGATGGATCCTTGAGCGAAAACAACCAGCATAATGCGTAATAGTCCGTTACTACATCAAAATACGGCCATAGAGGTATGGGCGGAACTTGAAAAGTGCCCAAACGATCGCCAAGCATTCCTTCTCGGTGACGTTGTAGTTCGATCCAGCCTTGGTGAGAGTTCTGCTGGCGTGGGCGACGGCATACTCGGCGAATCCAGGTTTGCGTTGTGCGGAACCGCACCAAGGCCGACACCATTGGCGTGGACCTCAGTTGCCACCGTAGAATCGTAGTGGCGCAGTATTGATGGCGAAGTGAGGAGACACCGAAGGGTACAGAAGGCTTGGTCACACTCCAAAGACCATGACGATACATCAGTGGCGCTGCCTAGAAGTTCGGTCAAAGGCGCATGATAGAAACGAAGTTGCGCACGAACCAGCGAAAGTAGGAGCATAACCCCACGAAGCTCCATAACTGCTTTATAATAGTTGTTTTGGGAAAGTCGGCGACAGCACGTAATTTTGCCGGGTCTGGAGGTATACCATCCTTTGATAGGACGTGCCCGAGAATCGTAAATGACACTTCTTGAAGTTGAGTGGGAGCAGAGCATTCGTCAGGCACGTGAAAAGGTGTTTCAGGCACTCTACATTAGTTGCAAAGTCTGGCGCAAAGACGACAATATAGTCGAAATAGCAGAGCCATATTTGCCACTTCAAACCCCGAAGAACCGAGTTCATCATGCGCTCGAAGGTGGCAGGCGCATTGCAGAGGCCGAAGGGCATGGCAATAAACTCATATAGACCGTCAGGTGTAACGAAGGCTGTTTTTGGTCGATCGGCATCAGCAAGGGGGACCTGCCAGTACCCTCAGCGCAAATCTAATGATGAAAAGAACTGGCCACCTTGTAAAGTATCAAGGGCATCGTGAATTCTGGGTAAAGGATACACGTCTTTTCGAGTGATTTTCTTAGGCACCGGTAATCCACGCAGAAGCGAATGGAGCCAACCTTTTTTTAACGAGTACCACTGGTGAAGCCCGTGGACTTTGTAAAGGTTGAATGACGCCGCGTTGCAGCATATCGTCCACCTGTTCGGTAAAAACTTGGCGTTCCTCCGCAGAAACGCAGCATGGTTGTTGCCGTAGTGGCACATGAGAGCCGGTATCGATGTAATGTAGAGTGGTAGAAGTGCGACCAAGTGAAGGTCCAACAACATCGAAAGATTCGCGGTACTGGTACAGCATTTTGAGGAGTTAATATCCTTCAGATGGTGACAGTCTGTCTGCGATCACCGAATCGAACACTTTCGAAGCCTGTAGATCAGAGTGGTTAAGAGCACTGACGGCGGTGAGGTCACATTAGGATGATTCTTGCGGCAAGGTAAAAATTTGTCCGTTATCAATTGACTGTATGCATCCAAGAGATTCACCTTTAAACAGTTTGATGGTGTGCGGAAAGGGATTGGTAAGGCAGAGAGCACTGGCTGCATTAGAAATCGAGAGGGCTGAACAAGGAAGCAGAAGTGGTTTCCGAGTTAGGAAGAGGCTTGATGGCTCAAAAAATGCTACTCCATCACGCATGTCGCTGTTTTCGATGGGTTGTCAGTGTCTTCTTTGACAACTAGCTTGTGTGCGGCTTGATTCGTGTGGTCGTAGGGCTGGTCGAACAACGGAAGCAGTTCAAGTTCAGAAAGGACACAATCTATAACGGTGTGATTACGCGCTAGGAAATCCCAGCCAAGTATGTTTGTCATGAGAGAAAGAGGAGAGGGTGATAAACTCAACAATGTAGTGGTCCTCCAAAATTGTAAGTCGGGCAGTGCAGGCGGCTATAGGTCGATTAGGTTCTCCATTTGCTGCACGTAATGACATCATATCAAACGGCGTGGTCACCTTTCGAAGCTTGCAGCGAAGTTTGGCGTCTATAACAGACACAGTTATACAAGAGCGCATGCATGGGCGCCGTCTACAAAAACTTCGACGATAATTGACGACAAAGTGCGAGGACTTGAATGTTTCGATAGCGCAGTTCTTGCCTCCTAAACTGCGACGACTAGTTTCCCTCATTTTGAGGGGCTGCTCGGGGACACATGGGTGACAAGGAGCGACAATTGGGTGAAGGTGAACGACAAGACGAAGTTGCCGGATAGTCAGGGGAGGCGTGCTTTACTGGTGACCCGAACTTTCATACCCAAAAGGGGGTCGGTCGATGTAGTTGCTCCGTGATCGTGCGTCTGTGTAGCCGGGCACGCGACGACGGCAGTATCAAGAGATATGGCCAGGGCCGCCGCTTGCAAAACAGATCGGCCAGTTCTTGCGCGATCGCTAAGCATTCGCAGTGAGGCGCGTCGCCCACATGGCATACGGCTGAGTCAAGACTGTGGTAGCGAGGGGAGGATCCCATGCGACGGAAGACTGAGTAGTAGCGGTGACATGGGGCAGTCTATTGAACAGCGAGGGCTGGTGTGGCTGCTGCCTCTTTACTGCGTCAGCATAAGTAAGAGGCGCGGCGACAACTTGCTGCTGAAAGGGCACTGGCATAGTCTCGACAATCTGGTCCTGAAGCACATGTCGGAGCATGGGAGCTAACAGTGTCGTTGGCCGCTCTTGCTGCTGCTGTGGGAACTCTTGGCGCTGGCAAAATGGCAGGAGTGAAAGCTGACTTGCGACCTCCTAAAGCACAAAGTCTTTCATTTGTGCTAGAAGGCGGGAGTGATCAAGCATGACGTCAAGTGCGGCGAGTAGTTGGTTAGGCTGAAATGTACGACAGGTGAGAGCTCGTTGTCGTCACAATTCGTCGTAGCTCTGACACAGAGTTAGCACTTCAGACACCGTGCCAGGAGACTTCGCAAGGAGAACTTGAAAGACGTCGTAATCGACACCTTTCATAATGTGCGGGATCTTGGCACTTTCGCTCATTGCGGCATCGACGCGCCTGCAGAAATCGAGTTTGTCTTCAATATAGGTGGTAAACGTTTCGCCAGGTTCTTGTGCCCGTGTGTGCAGGCATTGTTCGGCACGCAACTTCCGCACGGCAGGGCGACCGAAAACCGAGGATATTGCCTGCTTGAAAGCGGCCCAGTTTTCAAACTCGAATTTGTGGTTTGTGCACCACAGCTTCGTTACGTTAGCCAAGTAAACGTTGACGGTGCTCATATTTGCAGCGTCATATCAACTGTTTGGTTTACTGACCTTTTCGTAGGACGACAGCCACACCTCGACGTCCTGATCTTCGGCGCCCGAAAAGATCAGGGGGTCTCGCTAGTGAACCGGGCCTGGGCAAGTAGCGGCCATGAGAGGTGCTGTCTGTGTTGCAGCGTCCACTTACATTATCGGCGGCAGGGTGCGGGATTGGAGTTCCAGGGTGTACGCGGTGTAGTTACTTAGCACAATACACCAAATATAAAGGGGGTTTATTGAAGGAACTGAGCAAGCGGGTGGTAACTAGAAAGGAACGCAGGTGGATCCACATGACGGTGCTCAATCGCCGATCTTGTGCCTTCTCTTGTGTTAATGATAGTTGAGCCGATGGTATCAACGTCTTTCTTATTCACTATAATAATAAAAGTAATTGTTGAGGTTGAACGCTCAGGAACCACCACATCATTATCAATAATAATGATAATCATTGTTGTTTCACGTTCCAAATGCACCTTATGATTATCAGATACGCCGTATAGTGAAGGGCTCCAGAAATTTCGACCACCTCGTGTTTTTTACAAGAACCTAAACCTAAAACCACGGGCCTGAAACTTTCTCACATTCAATGGAATTGTGGCTGCCATAGATGGAATTTGTCCCATGTCATCATAGCGGGCGACCTTTAGAGCACCATAACCACTAGACCACTGTGGTTAGTAACGATATTGAACCTCTTGGTATGGTGTCGATATTATATAAGCTTTACTTTCTCCCTCTTGCAGAGTCTATAAGGCATTGCAAAATTAGCTCTCCCGAAACCCGCAAATTGAATCAAGCCTATTGAAACGTCTGCTCGGCTGCTGACCTGAAGGTCACTCGTTCAATTCGGGCTGTGGCAAACGCATTTTCATGTAGGCGAAATGGTAGAGGCCCGCGTACACTGCGATGTCTGTGCATGTTAAAAAACACCAGGCGGTCGAAATTTCCGGAGCCCTGCACTACGGCGTCTCTCATAACCATAACAGACACATTTAGTCTGGTGTAAGGAGAAGATGCGTACGCTGTGACAATTACGTTGCGTATGCGGCAGGTGAAGCGTGCAACAAATCTTTTGTTTCAACGTACTTTGACGCGTTTTACTCAAACAGGTAGATGGTATGCGAGATGCAGGGGTTTGTAATGCTAATCAGCGCCACCGACGTAGAAGTACGCTAGGTTTCACCACCGTGGTCCCAGTAATAACATGGCCTCTGTGATCTGCGCGAAACACGACTACCAGGGTAAGGGCCACCAGCGTACAAGTCAGGCCGTGGCGTCTGCTGTGTAGATTTTTAGCATGTTCCTGGGTGCACTGGATGCGCACGTTCACCTTTGCTGTTGTGAACTTAGGTGCACAATTTAGGAAGGCATCTGATTGGGCATGGTCGCACTGAATCGACCCCAGCGTTCTATCCAGCACTGCTGCAGATGAGGCTTAGCGTACGTCGAAGCAAGTGGTCGCATTACAGGTATTCATGACCTTACGATGTACTACCAGCACATTGAACGAGTGAAAGCTCTTACAACGTCCAGTTGATTGATTGATGCGTTCAAAAGACATACCGACACAGATCAGGGACAGGATAAAGATACCTCCGCTACCCAGAAATATGAACCCTACCTTTCACGAAGGCAGGCGTAAGGCCAGGGCAGAGACATTACAATCCAGGTACACCGGTCGACAGGACGTCGCGTATACAGACGCTGCGGAATATGAAAGCAAAGCGGCACACACGGCATTGGCGGTCAGGGAAGATGGTGGCCTGATTGCGTGCTGCTCAGTCCTTGGTGTCGAGACTGTAGAGGCCGAGGAAGTCGCCATAGCTTTGGCTATCAGCCAAAAGGGGATCAGGGTGGTCATCAGCGACTCCAAAAACGCTGTGAGAAATTATGAATCAGGAAGGGTGACGGAGACTGCCGTTCGTATATTAAACATGGAAGGAGTACCCAAAGAGCAGGTTCTGCTTGTCTGGGCTCCAGCTCACCAAGGACTTAGAGGGAACGAGGAAGCTCATTCCGTCGCCCGAGGTCTCACCTACCGGTCGACCCCTGGAACCTGCCAAGTTACCGAACAAAGAAGCGAGTATATGCGCACATACCATGAAATCGTCGCACACTACAGGCTGAATCGGCAAGTATACCCGAGAGCGGACAACTCACTAAGTAAGAAAAACGAGGTTTCGTGGCTAAAGTTACAGACCGGGGTTTTTCCAAACCCCGCACTTTACAGCAAGTGGCACCCCGCAGTTTTCCAGTCCCAGTGTAAATTTTGTGATGAAATAGCGAATTTGGTCCACATGGTGTGGACATGTCCAAATCAGAACGATGGTTCTCACACTGTAGAATCCTGGGAGGCCTTGCTCTGCAGCCCAGATCCCAACGTCCAGCGCGACATCATCAGTCAAGCCCTTGCTGCTGCCGCGTCCCGAGGAATTCCGGCCGACAGCTAGGGGCGACGGGCCATGCCTGAATTGACTGACTTTTTATTAAAGTTTTTTTCTCTCTCTCCCTCTCGCGAAAACGTAACGTAGAAAGCGTTGCGTTACGTACGCAGCATCATGTTTCGGGCGTACGCTCGCCTCTCTAGAATCAGTATGTTACGTGCTGCACTTGCGCATATCTCACCCATGACACTGCTGCGTACGTGGGTTCCTTACATTCGTCCAATAATAAGTGTCTTATGTGATCTTGGAATGTAAAAACCAACATACTATTACTTGCTTTTGAATCGTAAAAATGTGTTACTTTCATGAAGCTGAAAAATAATTGCGCCTTCTGCTAAGCGCTGACGGCCCAAAAGGATTATCTTTGCACGTATTTACTCTGTGCGAATAAAACGGACTCTTTAGCCACGTTTAGTTTATGCTTAACTATTAAAATTATTGTGTATTATTCCACTCTGTTCCATAAAGAGTGTTCACTTATTGAGCACCATTCGCACTCCAACAGGGCTCACTTATCCTTCCGGAAAAGTGCAGCAAGACCTACTCGTCGACATCTACCGGGAAAGCGGAGTCGACCCACTGAAAGTCGCTTACGTTGAGGCTCATGGCACCGGAACCAAGGTGGGCGATGTGGAGGAGCTGAATCCTATCGGTGCAGTATTCTGTGGACCAGCGCGCCAAAAGCCGTTGATGGTTGGCTCCGTCAGAAGCAACATGGGACATGCTGAAAGCGCCTCTGGTAAGGCGGTCGGATGAGTTTGTTCACAGTTTTTTAGATTTTCAAAAGCAGTACCATGTGGCTCACTCGCAACGACGTGTGCCAGTAGGCATGTTTTATATCTACTGCAAGATGGTTAGGAATGACGGTGAGCGTGTTTGACAAATGACCTCATCACAAAGTGACCATAGATCGGCAAGCACACTCGTTATTTGATTACCTCAGGCACATGGCTAGCTACGGATTTCGATTAAAGTGAGTAAATTGGCCTAATGATTCCAATGAGCTAGAGGCTAAGTTAATCCGTGAGACTGGAGTTTAGGTGAATGCAATTGCTTAGTTTTTATGATAAAATATGAGGGGTCATGTCGAGAGGGAAGGGTTTGGCATAAAAAAATCATTCTTCAACTGTACCCAGATATGTAATTGGATGTGCTACGCAGACTACACGGGACGAGCGCTTGAAGACTTATTCATCTAGCTTATGATACATTTATAAAGCTCCCTTTTCCTGAACTTGCAGCCCTGTGCCTTCGCGGGAGCTTGTCCCGCCAGTGCACCGCAAGACGATGCAGGCTGATTAAATATACCAAGGGCTTGCATTTTTCTTTTTTTCTGTGTGTGCCGAGCGATAGCAGACGACGCTTGGTGTGTGTCTCACACCTTTGCGCGAGAAAAACGAAGTAAATCGGCGCCGAGCTCGTGGGCGCTCGAGGAACGTGGAACAAAAAAAAAGGGGGGTCTGGCAGTCTCTTTCTCATCTTGAATGAGTTTGGACACCCTTTTTAGGCCGCCTCGGAATTTAGTTCATCCAATGGCCACAACGTCTTGTCACAATTGGAACCCAACGGCTCGAGGTGAACTAAGAAGACGTTTACATCTTGTACATAGAAACGTCGCTCCCTACGCGCTCCTTTGGCTCAACCACTGACGTTTGGACAGAGTCGGCTCTGTGATTCCAAGATGGCGACGGCCCCGTGTTCTATCGACGTGTTGGAGCAGCTGGATGACGCCGCCCGGGTGGAAGCCTACCAGTCAGCTGTGTCTAAAGCCGATGTCCTAAGGACCGAGGTGTGTCAGTTCCAGAGCGAATAGGGGTAACTGAAACTAATGATTCTCAAGGACCAGGACGCCTCCAAATACGACGACGCACCAAAACCGCCTTTTGATTCGCAGATAAAGTCAAGTCACGACCTTTTGTGTAATTTACTTGGTCCACTAGTAGAGCGCATTAAGCGTCTGGAATTAAAAACGCATGAAAATTCTGACGCAAAATCAAGCACGAGTGCAAAAGAGAGCAGTGCATTGATGAATCTCGCACGCGGCTAGAGAAAGCAACAAGCACAAGCCAGAAGCGATACTCCCGTGTGCATGTCTAACGGTGAAGACCATCGCGACCAACGTTCGGGTTTCGTGGCGAGCTCCTTACCACATCTTGGGAAAGATCTAAACGTCTGGTTTCACCAAGGTGACTAGCGGTTTAGAACCTTCTGCATTCCCCATAAGGTCGCCATACCATTCAATATTTCAATGCTGCAAGCTAAAGATTTTACATAGATGCGTCACCGCATGAAGGTGGGTAGTATCAGTACTTGGGCTGACATCCAGGCAGCGTTCCGCCGAGATTATAACATGGACTGCGATGTAACATCTAAGCAGCGAATGTTAGGCGCAACGCGACGTGCAGGCGAGTCATGTACAGACTTTGCATACCGAAAGCTCGACCTGATGAAACAGTACAACTCTGCTGAACTACAACAGGAAACGTGGCAAGTTTTCGTGGCTACTCCATCACCCAAGGCAAAGAAGCACATCTTTGACAACACATTTAGGTGGCTAGACGATATGATAAGGTTTTTCTGCGCTTTGACCAAATCAGGGATTCGGAGGAAAGCAGTCAAATGTTTCGGCTGCGGAAGAACGCGGAATGCCATCCACAACACCATCCGCCGAATGCCGTGTTATGGCAAAACGTTCGCCTCGGAAGCCTATGAGCTATCGTCAACGCCCAGACAGCATAGAGTCTAACGGTTTCTCTGATGATGAAGTAGCTGAGAGAAAGGTGAAAGGGGATACGAAAGCGAAGCCATCACCGTTGCGGCAATCGACTAATTTCACAACGCATAATGTGAGGCCTTGAGAGTTCGTAAACTGTGCTTGAACTGCTCCAGAAGTAGCCATTTTGTCACGCAGTGTTGTCTACCGCTAACTGCAGAATTTATGAAATGGCAGCAACATTTCGAATCTTCCAGCTTACAACAGCGGGGAAACGAACAGCTGGTGACGCCGATGCCCACGGGCAGACGCCAGAAAATGGGCAGGTGTCATGTGTCTCTGAAGCAGGTACTTTTTCTGTTTGTGTCTTCATCAACAGACAAACGATTAAAGACATCTTAGATTCTGGAGCTGCCAAAAGCTTGATTACGGCACCAATAGTTGACAAACTCAAATTAGGCATAAAGCCTTCGTCCCTACGTTCGATATGAGCAAGCGGCCGTAAGCTACAAAACTTAGGTCAAGTAAGTGCAGTGGTGACATTGGACGACCAAACACTGCAGCATGTCTTTGTTGTTGTTCCCTATTTACCCCAGGAAGGAATACTGCAAGGTGATGACTTCTTGCGAGTTTCAAGATCCGTCATCGACAAGGGCTTGGAGAGCTTCGCGGTGTCGGTCCGCCAAAGGCTACGCAAGGTCTACCTGGTTAGGGAGGAACCACTGCCAGCTTTATCGCGGAAGTTATTTCCTGTGTGCTGGCATCGCGTGTCGGAAGATGAAAATCATATAATGGTGATCACTCGGACAAAGCTCTAGTGCGACCGCTATTCAGTCATAGTGAAGCCTATGGTAACAGCTGCATCGGAAAATACAACGAAGGTTTTGATCACGAACTGCTCTTCTCAAGCCGTCTTGCTTCCTTATCAGATGACAATTAGCCTTATGGAAGACGCAAGTAAAACTGAGAATATTGAACTTTCTGGAAAGGACTGCCGACAGATACTCCAAATTTCATGCCTTCCTTCTCCTGTGGGCCTTGATGCGCCTCCATCTCATATGGTCACTGATCCGCAGCAACGTCAATCGCAATAGACGTCAGCTTTAACAGTGGAACAACGTTAATTCCCAATGAGCTGCAGGTCGTGAAGGATTTGTTGGTGCAACATTCGGTTTGCTTTGCATAGTAAAGTACAAATGTAGGCTCCTGCACAGTTGAGCGACATTGCATACCAACTGGAAACACAAAGCCAATATCGGAACGTCCTTGTAGATTGTCACCAGCACAGCATGATCTCGTCAAAAGTATCATCAAGGACCTCATTGATGCCAATAAAGTGCGACCTTCTCGGAGTCCCTGGGCGTCATTCCTTGCCCTTGTAGCAAATAAAGATGGGACGACGCGCATGTGCGTTGATTATCGACGTCTCCACGCCATCATTGAGAACTTTTTGAACCCTTTCCCAATAATTGAAGATGTGCTGCAGTCACTTACCGAAAGCAAGTACTTTTCTGTTTTGAACTTGGTGTCTGGACTTTATCAGATCGCCATGCATCCAGATGACATGTAGAAGACTGTCCTCGCCACGCCGTGGGGTCTTTACGAATTCCTCCGGATGCCATTTGGCCCTAAAGCTGCCCCATTCACTTTCCAGTGAGCCTGAATACGATCATTGACGGTAATAAATACAACAATGCCCTTATGCCAATGAATGACTGCGTTGTCTTCAGCCGGACATTTGAAGAACACGTTTCACGCCTTTAGAACGTATCTGCAAGATTCGACATAGCAGCCTTGAAGTTCCAGCCACAGAAGTGTTTCTTTTTTTTGTATTGCCATCAATTACCTTGGGCGCGTTGTCACAAAAGGCGGTGTATCTCCGGACCCATCGAAACTGGCAGTGGTTCAGGTTTTTCGGCCTCCTTGAAATGTACAGGAACTACAATAATTCATTTGGCTCACTTCGTACTTCATGAAGTTTATCCTAAATTACAGTGAATCACTCAAAAAGAAAAACGCTACTTTTTCTTGGCAAGAAGATCAGCAAGTGGCATTTGAGACATTAAAGTGCGCGTTGTGCCAGCCGCCTGTCCATAAGGTATTCTCCGAAAAACAAGAATTTGGTGTCCAAGTACTTACAGATGCATCTAGGCTCAGCTTGGGAGATCTATTGCTGCAAGAAGAAGAAGAGCGACGATATTGTCCAGTGCTATACTGGAGTCAATCTCTCTCAAAGGCGCAGAGTTTAAATATTCTTCGACAGAACTAGGAGCTCTTGCAGTAAAATGGGCATTAACCCCACAACACCCACCGTATCATATTTGATACGCCAAGTTTGAAGCTAGCCCCGCTGCTACAAACCGAAACTGAAAGCACTAAAGCTAGTTGGTGGTGCTTAGGGAACGTTGAATAGTGTTTTTGAATCTCCATGCTTCTATTTTTTGCCACCAGAGCGCCGCTAGCTCACTTTCGAAGATGGCCGCCTCCAGCACCGCACGAGACGCTATTCTAGCTCGAACGTTCTACACTAGAAAAGGTAATTATGACGTATGTTTTCCTAAACCTTCTGTGAATTGTTCAGCCTGATACATTATCTGATCACTAGGTATAATTTTTTGGGATGTGTGGTAGCTTCGGACCCTACAATTGCGTGGTATTTTCGGCCGTATCATATCTGATACAGCGGGCGTTACTTGAACGCGCATCTTTCTTGCTCTCAGTTGGAAATGAAAGCATAAGATAAAATTTTCTGCTCGCCGTAAAACACAAGCAACTGTTCGGTGCTTCTTGCTTCACTATTTGGTTATAGATCGTGCTGTCTTTTTTTGTTTTAGGTGTGGCGGTGAGGAATATCTTCGAGAGTGTTGCTGTTGGTGACGACGTAAGTGACTTCAGTGATATTTCGGACAGCGATGAAGAAGAATGGAGCGTTGCTAACAACGCTGCGCCAGGTGACGCTAGTGATGACTACGTCATGGCTACGACCATACCTGATTGGCCGAAAATTTCAAGTTGTCAGCGACCACTATGCACTGTGCTGGGTCTAGCGCTACAAGAAACGATACTAGCGCCTTCTTCCTTAGTCACTGATTCTGCAAGAATTTGACTTTGATGCCCTTTAAAATCGGGAATCCCGCAAAGTGCACGAGATTGTCTTTCCAGGAACCGCCCCCCCCCCCATTGTTGATGAGGCTGAACCAATTCTTGTGATTCTGTGACTACATGGGCGGCGAGCACCGTCAGGATGCATTTTGCGCTTAAGTCGTGGATATGCTTAGGAGTGCGCTGGGCGCGCAAAAGCAACAGAAACGCATGCGAAAGAAGGTTATCACGCATAACGACGTGTTGTACAAAAGAGACCAAGGCCCAGTCAGCAGTCGATTTCTCCTCTGCCCTACTGCACAACTACAAGCTGAGGCACTCCGTGAACTGCATGAGGGATGATACGGTGGCCACATGGGCATCAGGTGAACATTCTATGTCTTTAGGTCTAAGTATTACTGGCCAAAACTCTATGCAGATGTCAGACGGTACGTGCGTCACTGTGACTTTTGTCAGAGAATGATGATGTCCACATCGGTGCATTATGGTCTAATACAGCCGATAGAAGTCCACAGCTCATTTCGCACAGTTCGTATGGGCATAATAGGGACATTCAAAACTCTAAGAGGTTACAAGTACATCATTGTAGCCATTGATTACCTCACAAAGTTCGTGGAGGCAAAACCTCTCCAGGACATAGAGGCGGCAGCCATCCACAAGTTTGTCGAACGACGGGTCATCTTGAAGCACAGATGCCCAGCCACAATTATCACAGACCACGGTACTCAAACGATGGCGCGCTCTACTGAAGCATACCTCAAACATCGGGGCATTAGACATGCTGCCACTACCGCATATCACCCCGCAGCCAATGGCTTGTGCGAAAGAGCCAATAAGACAACCAAACACATGATTGCCATGACTACCGCTGGAGAAAAAAATGGGCCAATGTCTTCTCTTATATTTTATTCTATTACAACTCCGGGTACCAAGACACGGTTCCCTAAACTTTCTTCTTCCTGGTCTACGGTAGGCATCCGGTGCTACCATTAAGTGTTGTATACCACCGCCAAAAGCTTGAAGAGCTCAAAGAAGAATCGAACTACTTCACGGTAGTGCGTGAACGATAACAAAAAGCCAGGGAGCTCGCAGCTACGCACATCCGACTGGCTCAAGAAAAACCGAAGCGGCACTTTGACAAGCACCACAAGGACGTTGTGTTTGAAAAAGGACAACTGGTGCTCCTCAAGGCTCCAACGTCCGGTGTGAAAACAACTACATCGTACACCGGACCTCACAGGATAGTGAATAAACTGTCTCGCGTGAACTACGAGATCGAACTCGCGGACAATATGGGAAGTGACATTGTGCATGTGAAAAAATTAAGACCATATCTGAGTCCCATTGCTCACATGGAGCAATACCATGTTTCGGACTAAAATGTACCTGGGTGCTGTGCACTGTAAATAGTTGTTGCTGCTTGAGTATAGTTTTGTGTGCCTCAAAGTGAGTAGACAATGTTTTGTAGATTTTTGTAAATAGTTACAGATAGGACTGTTTAAGTTAGTTTAGTTATGTCTGTCTTAGTGTTTTGTGTATAAGCCGGGACGACAAGTTTCCTAACCCCGGCATGTGAAGAGCGATAGCAAATGACGCTCAGTGCGTGTCTCGCGCCTTTGCGCGAGGAAAGCGAAGTAAATAGGCGCCTAGCTCACAGACGCTCAAAGAATTGCAATAAAAGAAGGGTCTGGCAGTTCCTTTCTATTCTTCAAGGAGTGTGAACGTCTTTCTTAGGCCGCCTCAGAACCCAGTATATCCGACGGCCACAACGGCACGTCACACAGGGTCACCACCGATTCAAGCCCTCCTAGTATGAAAGACAACGTATTATACACTCGTGCTTGCGCGTCATGTGAGGCGACGAAAAGCAGGTTCAGGAGGGACTTACTGGAAAAGCTAGCTGTGGAGAGTCATGCACCCTGGCACGTAAGAGCGAAGCATGCTTTGAAAGCCTTTCCCGTCCCATTCGCTATTGTGGTCTAGCAGCACCAGGTGCTACAGATCTGTAGACGACGATGTTGCGAAAAGCAAGAAAATAAATGCAAGTTCACGAACAAGGGGACAAATTTGTGAAGCTATGTCGTGTTGCTCGGCCCAGTGGGCGTCCTCTGCATTGCCACCTGACTGACCATCACTGCTTTTGTTTACACATGGCGGCGGTGTTGGCCGGCGAGCAGTTTGACGGGGGACTAGGCCTATGGCACATGTTTGATAGTGAGGGTGTGTTACCACCTTAATGAAAACGTACCAGCACTGGTATTGCTGTGGAGTGAGAACGCTTTGCGAATTTCTAGTGTTCAGAATAAGTGCATACAAAGACGCCTTGACACGAATATTTAGCAGAGCTCCTGTGACTTCAAGTTTGAATAAATGTTTGCCGTATATTTCTCGCACAGGTATTTAGGTTCCGCGGATAAAAAAAGTTGTGATAATAGCTGGAGCTTTGTGAGTCAAACCACGAGATGATTATAAGGCATGCTGTATTGTAGCTCTGTGGATTATTCCTGCTGCATAGGGTTCTTCAAAGCACGATGAAATCGTATAGCGGAAAATCCTGAACGATTTACTCAACTTTAATGGGGCCGCTACGGCCGGGATAAATAACTAGCCAGGGTCATAACGCGAGCCTAACAGACTGCGGCAAGACAATTTATTCGAATGCTTTCTCACCAGCGGGAACCGTTTGAGCCACACTTATTGAGGCAAGAGTGTCTGCGATCACAGAAACTGCTTGGATACAGCGGTAGGCCTTACGCCCTCATCACCATCGAACCTAGAACCGCACTTCCAAAAGTATTTCTTTGAGCTAAGCACACATTCCGTGTACGTTGCGGTTAGAAAGGGTCATTATGACATTACTTCATAATGGCTTATTTAGGGCAAGCGTTAAGTCAGTATGTACATCTGCTACCATGTTTTTTGTCCTCCGATTTTCATAGACTATGAAATATAATGCTGCATCATGCACCGTTATGAGTTTCACAAGGCTAGGTATTTTTTCTTATCCAGACAGCACAGGTTAATGCCTGGACTTCATTGAGTACAAAATTTCTCATGCATAAGACAACTTAACATGACCTTTAACTCAAGGTTAGAAGGGGAGGTGGCAGTCAATCTTGCCCATAAAGGCTTAAATTAGGCGTCCAGCCAATATAAAACGTCGTGCTCACTACTAAGTATTTCTGTTCAGGCCACTGTAGAGAATATTTTTTCTGTATCAGTGTTCTTTTGTTGTCGGCTCGTGTCCTTGTATTTTCAGCAACTTTGACAACGTTTAAAAGCTATGAACGAACTATCCCTCAAGAAAGTCTCAACAAGACGTTTCCGGCTGAGTATTTTTTTGAAACTATTGCCAGAGGTATGTGTGCGAGTTCAGTGACAAATATCACTTGAGCATTAAAAAGCCCTCTATACAATTGGTGTTGCTGCAGGTGTGTCATCAGTGGCAAAGGTTATCCTGGCCTTTGAGACAAGCATGATCGCCGCCAACCTGCACTTCAAGAAGCCCAACGCCCTAATACCACGCCTCCACGACGGCAGCATCCATGTCGTTGCCAAGCACAAGCGTTTTCCGGGTGGCCCTGTAGGCATTAATTCGTTCGGCTTCGGGGGCGCCAATGCCCATGTGATCCTTGAAGCTGGACCTGAACTGCACGTGAACAGCATTGTCCGTGACAAACCTGAACTGCCGAGGCTTGTCCTTTTCGCCGGAAGGACTGAGCAGTCCCTGACAGTGAGTAGACGTGCGCAAATCCACACTAAAAGAAGAAACATGTGGTGCCAAGAAACCTCCTATAAATGGCTTCATGGACAAAGACAGGGAATGCTTAAGGGCTGAAATCTATTTTGGTAAATACATTAACAATTGAAATTAACGGACAAAGTATGCACAGAAGAGAATGGAGAGGTAGGTACGTTAACCAGCATAGAAGGTACGGTATGCTGCCTTACACTGGGGAAAAAGATCCAAGAGTGTTAAAGATGGCGAAAAAGAGAGAGCACGCAAAAAAAAAAAACCAAGGAAAGTATAGGGGATATTACTTGCAGTTATTACATTGTAAATGTGGAGAAAGTAAAGTGGACGTATAATCACTTGCAGCTGGCAGGGACCGAACCTGCGACCTTCGAGTAAAGCGTCCGACGCTCTACCAACGAAGCTACAGTAGCGGTCATGTCTCAGTTAAATTTTTGGGGTCTGCTTGCGTGTTTAAACGTTAGAGCGTCGCTACTAACCAAGACAGCGAGTGTGCAGCGCTTTTTTCGTGTAGGCGTAACAAAGCACGCTATCTGTTTACAAGCCTGCAGCTGAGTTGTTCGTATATAGCCTTAAGACATTTAGTCTGGCAAAATGAGACCCTTCCTGCAGATGAACGAATGAAAAAGATTAGTTACGGGCTCGTTTTTCTTCGCTAGTTTTCCAAAAAGATTCCTTAAAACTAACAAACAAGACAGCTGAGAGATATACAGGGGATGTCATTTCTAGGTATTATGACGGAAATATAGGGAAAGAAAAGAGAAGGAAATCACACTTGCGGAGCTTGCTCACGTTTCCACAATACTACCTACAAATACGATCCCCTGTACATTCCTCGGTTTCTTGTCTGTTAGTTTTAAATAATGTAGCTGATATAGAGTTATATTTTCACGTGTTGGGGACGGGAAAGAAAGCAGCAGCATCTGGTAAAGATAATTTCGTTGATTTGAGCTGTGCCCGGACAAGGAATGACACTAAAGGTGCGAAGAATATTGGCGCGAACAGTGGTCTGTCATCGGAAAGACTTGGCAAATCCAACGTATTTTGGGAATTGAAGTTACGCGAAGCAGGCGGAATGCAGGTGACTGTAGCTTTTTTAATAAATGTAACGTTACAAATCCACGCTAATAATACGTGCAAAAGTTGTACGCTCTGTTTTGTGTTAAATATTTGTATATAACCAGTCATTTACAGCTGCATGACAATGCCGACAACAACATTGGTATTAGCAACACCAGAAGCGGGAAGCTGACAAGTAGCGTTGGTGCTCACGAGGATAATAGCCCTGCACACTGCTACAACTTCAGTTAGGGGCAATTAACTATAATTTACTCTTGTACCACGCAACGTATCTACGATGTTGAAGCAAGTTAGTTAATGTTGCGGCAACGCTCTGTTGGCATCTGACGCTATTAGGGTACGTAATCCCGAGGTAAAAGCTGAATCGTACGAGTATAATTGTATAATCTGTAAAAATTAATAGTCAGCACTGGAACCACAATATACATTCGCGAACATTGGCTGCGTATTTGAAAAGCATTCCTGAGACTTGGTGCGGCACTGTGGTCCAATACTTGGTTGTCGCGCAGAATACGTTGGTTCGATTACTGCTCCGACCCCGACATTTATTCTTTACATTCATTGGGTCAACGCTGCCCAAGTTAGCCGTTCCTCAGGGTGAAAGTGCCAATGATGGTTCTCGTCGTTCCTGGGCAGATATAAAGTGTCAACAACTTTTGACTCATACCTGCACATCTGTGGTGCCTACGTGCACATGGCATGCGGTTATGTGTCACACGTATCTCGCAGAAAGGGTTTGACGACGCAATAGGATCGTCACATTATTTGTCACAACCAGCGAGTCATAATTGTAATATGGTGTTACCCTCCCATACTAATTTTGGTTCACCCCAAGTTAAGGAAGGGGGGTTCGGGCATTACCAAAGCACCCAGACGTAGGCAGACAGATATATAGACAAACAAACAAACAAACAAACAAACAAGCAGGCAGGCAGGCAAGCAGGCAGGCGGGCAGGCGGGCAGACGAATGGGAAGCCTACCTAACTATTCCATTGCCGGTGTGTTTTTCTTCAGTTTTAGCCCCGCCGCGGTGGTCTAGTGGCTAAAGTACTCGGCTACTGACCCGCAGGTCGCGGGTTCAAATCCCGGCTGCGGCGGCTGCATTTCTGATGAAGGCGGAAAGCTAAAAACAGTCTGAATGTGTGGAGACTGCAAAACTTATTGGCAAGCTGTAGAGATTGAATTTGCGTTTTAGTTTAATTTGCCCATTCTTTGCCAAGAAGAAACAAAACGCTTTTTATTTCATCGTGTATAATATGGTAATCTCAGACACCAACATCCCTTTTTATTTCACTGTGAGGGCTCCCACGCTGCTTCCACTAGTCCACAAGACATCCTTGGAGCGTTCATCACTGAGCACCGCTAAGCTTGGGGTTCCTGGCCATGCACCTAGATCCTAGCCGACCAGATGCGTAGCCTGCTCTAATTTTTATCGAGGAAGAGGGAAAGGGAAGACCGCATGGCATTTAGATCAGAATACGAGGTGGGACGGAGAAGCAGAAAATAAATTATTGTGGTTTCTAAAAGATGAAACTTTGTGCGCGAGAAAAATTAGTGCGGCGTATATGTATATAAGAAATAATGTTTTTGATAGTCTCAATGATTTCGGCCAGAGAGGAGGTAACGAAAAGAAGCGACCGTATTCATACAACACGATTAGCTGAATAACTCCTGCAATGAGAGATGATTATACCACGTATAAATTGTTCGATCAGCAGCAGACAGAGTTATCTGGTACGCTATCAATCGAAGTGCTCTATATCTTTTTTTGTGTGCATCTATGCACAAGGCGCAAGGGTCACCGGAAGCACTTGTGTAAGTACAGTGAGCTTAGTGGCAGGACCAAGTTTTGCGTATATTGAACCCTGATATGTGCATTTGGACAAATTTGAAAGTTGCACATACACTAATTAGTCATTCTTTCTTATCTCACTTCTGAAGTGATTGCTAGGCCTGAGTGATTGCTAGGCCTGAGTGAGCAGTCAAGAGAAATATTACGGGAATATTTTTCCTTTCGACCACTAACCTGGCACCACATTAATGACCTTTGTTCTTGTGATAGCACTCTAATGAGCGTACATCGGGGCTTCCCTTTAAAGAAAATTTTAGAGCGAAGCTTCTTAATACCTAGTTTCGTCTTCCATTATGGTGAGGGTATATAATCATTGCTATAGTCAAAAATATGCCAAACACACACACAAAAGGAGATTTTACACTAAAATTCTACGTAGACCTAGGCTAATTTCAAGGTAGTGAATCGCTGTTTGTGATGACAAGAAGCGTATTTATGAGATATCTCCACTGAAACGTGCTTACACGTTGAGGCTCCTTGAGGAAACTCCTAACACAAAGGCTCACGTCGAACACCTTTTATCAACAAACTACTCATTTTAAAATTGTATCAAGCCCCCAGTAAGACAGCGGATTCTTGGATTCACTTTCAAGGCATATTCTCCACACGTGCAAGTGTCTAAATTCTCTTTGAATTTCCCATCACTCGTGGAAGGCGAAATAAATGTGCATAGCTATGCACACCTAATGTCACTCAATTTATGTTATATAGGCACCGTGCAGTCAAGTTTTCCTGTGTCACTGCAGCGCCAGAACGCAATGAAGCGGAGAAAGAACGCAATAATAATAGGGGGTCATCAAAACGGAATAAGATACCCGCGTCTCCCCGCCCGCATGAGTGGTCAGAGTGCCGCAGGGATACAGGAGGACGCGTGCACGCGTCTGTTTTCTGCGTGCCCCTAACGGCCAACGTCAGTGAACTTAAACTCCGTTTCATACATCATGTGCAACGCTGTCAAAGCTGGCGCTCTTGTTTGCGCTGTGTACTGCCGCGACCAAAAAGTAGTGCGTCGTTTGGGGTGTACGAGAATCAATAAATGCTTCTCGGGAAACTTCTAAGCATACATATTTGTCATCAGGTAAAAAAAGAAACGCCTGTGTTGTCGGATAAACAGTCCAAATAGGCGAGTTGGTAATTTATGTTTGTCGCTTTCGTATCAGGTTTTCGCTCTCCGCGCGACCCGCGCCGTCGTTTTTTTTTTTTTTACTTATTGTGGCAGCTTCGAAAAAATGGCGTCCAGCTCTGCGCCCTCGACCACCTCTCCTGCGCGAATTTTTTCGAAGCTTCGCACATCAAAGCTGTCAAAGCACGCCAAGCAAGTAATTGCAAATGTGTACGCCCGTACCAGGATGCGTTTCCCGGAGAAATCCGTGCGGGAAGTGCTGAATGTTGTGAGCGAGAACACTGGAATATCTTCCCGTACCGTGGCAAAATTGAAGGCAAAGCATCTGCGTGGGCCTTTGGTGTCACCGAAAAAATGAGCCCGCGAGGTGAAGAACTCGCAAAAATTATTTAAAAAATGGCACCACGTGGATTCGATCCCTTGCACTTCAAAACTACGGTGAACTCTCCGGAGCGACGCGTCAGACCACTCGGCTACGAAACCGCGCGGAGCAACACCTCGTGTTTTCTTTACGGACTACTTGCCTAGCCTTCACAGCGTTGCACCTGATGTATGAAACGGAGTATAGGATGGACTAGTGCCAGCAACGCAGCTCCTTCTGGTCAGCGGACGGTGCTTATACGAGAGGCGACGCTTGCGTAACGTACGGTTACTCACCGATACGTACCCACAGCTTTGCCCACTCGGCCCGATTTACTTGGTGGAGATGCGAGATTTTTTCGTTTGAGTGCAGCAGCTTCAGGACTTGGGAGACATAATATCGGCATTGTACGTAAAGTGACCCATTGAGGGAAATTTATTCTCACAGACAGTAGACATCAAACATTTCAGCAGAACATTTCAACAAAATCGAACATATACAGACACACCAAAATTGTGTGTATGTGTTGTACGTAGAGGTCTACGCAACCACTGGCAAGCTGAATGGGACAGAGAAGTCGACAACAAACTCCACCTTGTAAAACCCCAGCTGAGAAAAGTTATCCCCCAAAAACTCAGCATGTTCGCCGAAGTCGCTCTAACACGGCTCAGAATAGGCCCCACTTATGCCACACATAAACACCTTTTGACAGGCACTGATCCACCTACATGTATACACTGTGGAGAGAGTCTAACCGTTGTGCATGTCCTCATACAATGTCCTATGCTGCACCAAGCACGACTGACCCATTTCAGAGCGAGCTCTATCGATATCATATCCCACTTCATCCAGCGCTGTTTTATCAACTTGATGCAGTGGTTGACCTTAAGAGGCTTCTTCATTATCTTGGAAAGTGAAATTTTTAACAATGAGTATCATTCCATCCTAGACACCAGGCTGCGCCTCAGTGTGAGGTACCCCCTGGTGCATAAAAAGTATGTCTTAGCCTTCGCATTCTTGCTCAGGCAAGGACTTCAGCTGCGAGGGTCTTGGGCCTTGCAGACAAATTTTTCAGCACAGACTTCAGCAACAAAATGAAGGTTTTAGCAAGTGACATTTCTTTTTAAACGCAGTGGAACATTCGTTTCTTTCTTATCTCACTCCTTAAGTGATTGCTAGGCTATTGCCTGTGTGAGCAGTCAAGAGAAATATTAAGGGAATACTTTTCCTTTCGACAGCTAACCTGGCACCACATTGATGACATTCGTTCCCGTGCTAGCACTCTAATGAGCGTATATCGGGGCTTCCACTTAAAGGACAAATTTAGAGTGAAGCTTCCTAATACCTAGTTTCGTCTTCCATTGTGGTGAGGGTATAGAACCATTGCTATAGTCAAAACATATGCCAAACACAAACACAAATGGAGATTTTACACTAAAGTTCCACGTAGAGATAGGCTAATTATAATGTAGTGAATTACTGTTTGCGATGACAAGAAGCGTATTTATGAGATATCTCTACTGAAACGTGATTAGACGTTGAAGCTTCTTGAGGAAACTCCTAACACAAAGGCTCATGTCGAACACCTTTTATCAACAAATTACTCATTTTAAAATTGTATCAAGCCCCCAGTAAGACGGTGGATTCTTGGATTCACTTTCGAGGCATATCCTCTACACGAGCAAGTGTCAAAATTCTCCTTGAATTTCCCAACACTCATGGAAGGCGAAATAAATGTGCATAGCTATGTACACTTAATGTCACTCAATTTATGTTATATAGGCACCGTGCAGTCGAGTTTCCTGAGCCACTGCAGCGCCAGAACGCAATGACTAGCGGAGAAAGAACGGAATAATAATAGGGGGTCATCAAAATGGAATGCGATAGCCGCGTCTCCCCACCCGCATGAGTGGGCGGATTGCCGCAAGGATACAGGGGGACGCGTGCGCGCGTCTGTTTTCTGCGTGCCCCTAACGGCCAACAACAGTGAACTTAGGATGGACTAGTGCCAGCAACGCAGCTTCTTTTGGTCAGCGGACGGTGCTTATACGAGGCGACGCTTGCGTAACGTGCGGTTACTCACCGATACGTACCCACAGCTTTGCCCACTCGGCCCGATTTACTTGGTGGAGATGCGAGATTTTTTCGTTTGAGTGCAGCAGCTTCAGGACTTGGGAGACATAATGTCGGCATTGTACCTAAAGTGACCCATTGAGGGAAATTTATTCTCACTGACAGTAGACATCAAACATTTCAGCAGAACATTTCAACAAAATTGAACATATAGAGACGCACCGAAATTGTGTGTATATAAAAAATTGTGAACGCTTTAAAACGCTATAGGCAGTCTACTATAGGACTGGTATTAAGCCGTCCCCGGCCGCTGACCACCAGCTAGTTACAAAATCGGTTATTGTGAAAGTTGATAATTTCATGCCACTTTTCACAGCCCAAATGGCAAGGCTATTGTTTGCCGTTTTGATTTAGCGATTCCCAATTTCGTGTAGCTCAAAATAGTTCGTGCGAATCGAAGCCATGACGTAATTTTTATTTCAACAAAGTTATAATAGATAAACATGCAGGTAATCACGCCTTCTACTGCCTCCTTCGGTGGCAACCACATAAAGCACTTGGAAGCGTTGCTTGCAGTCCTTCTGCTGTGAAATGAGGCCCCTCACGGGGGGCACACTTGAACGAGCACTCGTGGTCTTCTGCGGGAGACGTGGCGCCTAATGTGCTCTATTCGTTCACGTCACGACCACGTCACAATATCAGTCCCTCTGTGCGTGGGCCTACATTACTTTTACGCATTCGCAGGGAACACTGGACCGGGTAGAAACTGATGGACCATACCCGGATTCAGCGTACGCTCTCCTCAACCGGGTTGGACAGCCTACTGTCAAGAAGTTCCCGTATCGTGGCTTTGCAATTATTTCGGTGGACCAGCCCGACAAACAGGTCATCAAGCAAATTCAGAAAGCTCCCATCGAGATGAGGCCTCTGTGGTTCGTCTTTGCTGGTATAGGCTGCCAGTGGAATGGCATGGCACGTCAGATGTTGCACTTCGACGTGTTTGCTCGCTCTGTACAGAAGTCGCACGAGATTCTGAAGCCCTTTGGCATCCATCTGATCGACCTTTTGACAACCGAAAGCCATTGCGACCGGACTCTACTCCCAACGCTCGTGTCCATAGTTGCGATTCAGGTGAGCGCTTATGTGCCAGTAGTACGGTAGCATGTTACTCTTACATAGAACAGAAAATAGGCCGTGGAAACAGTTTCCTCTGTCAGCAACAATCTGACAAACTTTTGCCCCCTTTGTGTAAAACTATTGGTGACCACCTTATGTACGCCGTATTGTAGTAAAAACGCACAGATATACCAACAAGTTAACACCCAAAAATCATTCGTCAACACTTGCATCAAATCAGTTAGAACGAAAGGAGTGTAGGTTGAAGAACGAGCTTATTTAACTGTTTCTTTATATGTGTACTTATTTATTCAGTGCTACAAACTGCAATCAGCGCAGGCACGCGATAACAAAGATAATTACGACTGTTCAGTACGACGTAAAAAGCACAACACCACACGACAGAAAGTAGATGTTGGAACACAAGCATCATCAAAGGCGCGCGAACCACTTCAGTGTGTAGAAAAAAGATAAATGATGTAGGCAATGGTATTTATTCTGCTTATCAAAAAGAAAAATGTGTAACAATTTGTGCGGACTAGAGCAGATCTTGCACCACTCTGTTTGGGGTAAGAAGCGTTGACCATCTCTTTCTTTTTGTACGAGTGCTCTCTTTATTTTATACATAAACTCTACAAAAATAAACAACATAAAGCTCCTCTCTATGAAAACCTAATGAGTTCGTGGGTCACGATCCTCCGCTGCATTCAACCATATTTTTTTTACTCACTGGCTGGAGCTTATTACATGCGGATTGGTTGACCCAATCCGCCAGACTGGTAGCACGCGAGCATTAGCCGTACGAGCCCACATAATGTGAGGCTGTCAAGGCTTTCCTCCCTCTGAAACGATCCTGCCAGCTAGCTGACGTTCAAGGTGGAACAAGCCTATCAAAACTGCAATTAGGGAAAAGCAGATGACCAAAGTTGCCTCAGCCGAAAGGGCCAAAAAAAGTTTAGTCCTCTTTCCTGCATTGAGATGGGTACGCATTGAAAAGTTCGCCAATTGTTATTGACCTTTTCGCAAGGCTGCTGCTTCAATTAGACGCAGGGGCAAGAAGGCACGTGAAGACGTGAATATGTCATGATATAATGCTGTTGAAGCGTACATTAGTCTGCCTTCGGAGGCTTTACTACAGAACGATATAGGATGATTGGCTGGATGAATGGGTTGGTTATGCATCATAGTAAAAAAAAAGCTGCCCGGAAAATGAAGGCAAGTAAAAGTGACACGCGTACAATCAGCTAACTCTTTAAAAAAGACAATTCGTCAATCTATAGGGCATGCAGATTAGCAGCCTCATCATATGTAGGGCCGATGGGTTGGCTGTATGCTCTCCTATAATAATGTACCGAGCACTCTGATTTGCCAACCACTTTTTAGGACCACAAAAGAATTGTTTTTTTAATTAAATAGACCTATATGCTCCCGGAGCGGTATGTTTGTGATGGCATTGTACCAACCAGCACACATAAGAACCTTTTTGAGTGTAAACAACTTTCATGGTGAACTGAATTTATTAGCACCCCATAGTCCAATAAAATCATGCATCAGCCGCTGGGGAAAAACAAATACGAAGTTTGTGAGCCACCAACGTCAAGAGGCACGAATAGCCTATTGAATCACGAGACAGTATTTTTTTAATAAATGTATGTAAGGAGAGGTTGGTGCCAATGCGTGGTATCCTGAAACGTTGGGTATCAGTTCGCACAAGTGCACTTCCAGCAGTTATTTATTTTAGATGCGCGATATCACTGTATCGTCTGCAGGTAGCGCTCGTCGACATGCTTCACGCAGTGGGCTTGCGTCCAGACGGCATCGTTGGTCACTCGACGGGTGAGATGGCTTGCGCTTATGCGGACGGATGCCTGACGGCCGAGCAGACTGTACTGTGCGCTTACTGGCGTGGTCGCTGCGTTCAGGAGGGTAACCTGGTCAAAGGAGCGATGGCTGCTGTTGGCAAGTGACACGTTTCTTTCGCGCTTTCATCTGTGTTAGTTTACTATACGCAAGAGAGAATATCATTGTCGCAATGTAGTTAGATTTTTCTAAATAGAAAAAGCTATCTTGTCTCGGTGGGAGAGATCCCTTGTGTGTATAGTCTATGACTCCTCATTTCCGAACCATCTCACCTGTGTTCATGCGTCCGTTGTATATTGCTTCAGTGTATTGGCCTTGATAATTACTGCAGAATGCGTGTTACCTGAATATGCGGCCACTGGAAGGGTACTCACTGGAGGCCTGTGCTGCGGCCTATACCCGCAAGATCTTCCGTGAATAAAAATTGGTGTTCGGTTCTAACTGCCCTGTTTATCTAGAAATTTCGCACATTGCAAGGCACAGACCTTTTTCTTGCAACGGGATGGCATACACCTGCACCCTCGCAATTCTAGTAAAAATGTGTGAGTGCACACACAGACCAAATGTGGCTGGGTTTGAATGGAAGGCTAACGCGCTAGGGACGGGGAGGAGGGGGGGGGGGAGTCAGAAAATCATGTGGGCAGTTCGCGGAGCGCGACACAGTATGAAATGAAGAACTTTGTAATCAAGGTTCTTGATGTGTTTCATTGTCTATGGTTACGTTGTGTGTAATGAAATGTACCACGTTGTGCAAGCTCTTGTTAAACTCGATCAGCTGAGCCCTATGTAACGGCTCCGCGGAAGGAGAAAGAAAAACTAGCGAACATTGTACGGGTACGCGAAATGAAGGAGTAATTTCACGATGTTGAAAATACGTTCTCAGGCAGAAAAAAACGGAATTCACAAGTTGCTTCCAAACAGCTACGTAACCGAACTTCAGGAGATCAGGTAATTTTTTTAATGCCTTTCAATCCGATACACTGAAGATCCAAAAGCCTGCACAATAACACAATTTTCAGCATACTCGTGGTCGAAAATAATTACAATGTTGTTCAAGAACTTTATTGACCCCACCAGTGCTTCTGCTGGCATTTGCGATTCTAGAAAAGTGAGCTGGGATGTTTATCAAGTAATAACACGTGAAGACATCATTTGTGTTAATATTAAACGTGTTTTGTTTTCTTGCTGCTATCTAAAGCCTCCCGCCTCCTTCACGTAACATTCCTTGAGCAGACGTGGAAAGTTGAATATCAGAGCCAGTAAATCTCAAGGAGCTTTAGAGTCACTAGCAAGTTAAGATACTTTCTGAAGCGGAATACGTATTAACGGAAGGCTCTGCATAAAATTATCCGAGCTCCCATTACAAAGACAAAATTTTCATATCCCCGCAGCACTTAATTCGCTAAAGCACTCTTATAACGGCATAGATTCTGATTATCAGGATCCGATGTTATTCATCGAAAGTATGGGCACGCCATCACGAAAAATGCGCGCATGCACAATAGCGCACTTGATAGTGTGATAGTCACATTCGTAAGGCTGTGTTGTCGTTTTCCTGCGAACCTGTCTGGTGCTAGGACCACGTAGCGGTCGTGTCAATATTTGGTGGCAAAACGTTTGACAGAACCATCATGTTGTGTTGGCGCATGCAGACGTGCACTATGGTCCACGCCTTGAACGCAAAGTTTCAGTTTGTTGTTCTTATTATAGCCTATACTTTCAACATTTTCACGCTCGTGCCCGATATTATGAAGTCTCGTCACCTCAAGAACAGGCCGCGTCCGTGCAAGCTAGTTAGTCACTACATAGCTTCTTATAGACAAAGGGTGTCACCATGCTGCTGCCGTAGGAGCAGGCACTGACTTCGAGGCGTCCTAACTCGAACTAAGGTACCTAGATGAAGCAAGTTTCTAAGGTAGCGTCACTCACCCCCGTATTCTAGAACGCCCCTTCGCTCAACGCTCCACCGTCACTTGAGAAAGCTGATTGGAGCGCCATCTCTTGGCAGAACAAATCCCTGCATATCAGTGATAAGTTGCTGCTCTAGATGAATAGCGCAGCGTCATTTTCAGCCGAGCAGTGGCGCAGTGCTCCATTCTGTCCAGTGAAGGGTGAAAATCGACGAGTTGAGGAGCATTTGTGATTATGGGGGTCAATGTACTCGAACCATCCTACTCACCCTCTCGCTTACCCTCCTTTTCTCTGCACCCACGTATGTGATTGGGACATTCATTGCACGTGATCTTGAAAATGGCTGGTGGTGTTATTTATTATTATGCAAAAAAGTTTAACCGAGTACGCATACGCTAATCGCTCCAGCCGGATTCTCGCGGTTACCAAAGACAAAATTGTAGCCTGCACATAAACAGAAGAGGAGGAGCGTTTTAGTTGCGCCGAGTCGACCAAGATTGTTTTGCTGTGCTCGTTAAATGCTATATCCACGTTTTTCAACTAGGCTGCGTTGCTGTAAAACAAAAGAAAACGGTTTTGCTCTCTTCAACTTACCTTGTGCCATCCAAAATGAATAAAGCCGTGAAGTATAGCTATGAAAACTCCCACGCGAACGCTTTCGTGCGACTCTGTCGACATCGGATCTGCGAAGCGAGTTTATTTGTCGGTTTTTATTGGAACGCTCGACGTGCGTCTAATGCGCGTCTAGTGCATGCCATTTGTTTGAAATATTTGTGCGTATGCACGCATACAGAGCAGCTAGAGGGTGTAATCAACGCACCTTAAAAAATATTTCACTCCCCTTAGCAGTCGAATTACCTATGACACTCGCTACCTCGCCCTGAAGAACGCAGAGGTAGAGAAGCTGAACATAATTATTCGTAAGACCACCAAAATCGCTTTAAGGATCATCTTCATGGATTCCACTGCGAAACTGCTGAAAACGGGCATACACAACAACTGGCAGGAACTAGCCGAAGCCCACGGGGCTAGCCAGCTAGAACGATTAAAGCTCTCGCCAACTAGAAGATCAGTGCTACAACGGCTGAACTATAGTGAAACCTTTACAGGCGACACAGACGCAGACCGAAAAGAACGGATTCCCCCAAACATCCACAAATTTTTCTGTATTGCACGAATCCCTCACAATATGCACCCCACACATCACAAGGAAAGAAGGCAGGCATGAGTGAATGCTCTACGACGAAATCACAGCCAAGATCTAGACGCCAGATATACAGACAACCAAGTAACCTGGTAGAGAGGTCTACGCTTTGAGCGTCGTTGATACTCGGGGTGTAGAGCTCGCATCGGCCACAGTACGCACCCGAAGCCCATAAACTGCAGAGGAGGCAGCGATTGCCCTAGCTACCACAAAGTGCTTGGATGCAGCTGTGGTATTCACAGACTCTCAAGCAGCCATGCGAAACTACAGCAAAGGCCGTTTGTCTACCCAAGCAATTCAGATATTGAAACGCCGAAGCACTCCGATGCCGTTCACCTGTGTGACATGGTTTCCTGGGCACGAAGGGCTGGAGGGAATCAAGGCGGCTCATGCCGTGGCCCACGATCACGCCTACCGGGCTACACCTTACCGCTTTCTAGACTCCAGGACTGTATCCGCGGAGGCTGAGTCTGTACCTAAGACTTACTCTGCAATACTGCAACACCATAGGCTGCCATGCAGAGAGTACCCACCACCACACAAGAAGCTCAACAAAGAGGACAGCACTATACTAAGAAGACTGCAGAGCAACACACACACACGGCATACTAATGTACCGATTGTACCCAACAATGCATGAATATGTTTGCCCAATTTGCGCCATACCTGAGAGGTTGGCCCACCTGATTCTTGAGTGTCCAAGCAATACAAATGCAGATATATTGCCTCCGCCGAACACCTGCTACGCTGGTAAAGAAAACGAACACCTTCTCGAAACTTGGGAGGCCAAGCTCGTCTTGGAGGACCTGGACCAACAACGACGCATCATCGCCAGGGCCAAGGAGGCAGCGAAGGCCAGTGGGTTCCTGGAATGAAGAGACCTTCCACCCAAGGTGCACGCTGAACCTACGCTGCTGCACCGTTTTGAAAATAAGCGTTCATTCCTTCTCCTCCTTGCACAGTTGAGAAGAACGCGGCATAAAGTAGCCGAAACGCGCTACTTCAGTACACCTTAGCAGTAGAACTCTCATTTTTTAGGAAGTTTCGCGATTTGCACAAGAATTCACAGGAATCGCTATTGTCCAATTGGGCACGTTAAAAAAGAAAAAAAGGGTAAATCCCACGCACATTGGGAATCGATGATATGCGAAGCCCAAGTGAGAAAGGTTTATGTCAGCAGAACATAATGAGGTGGAAGTAAATGATGCCACACATCGCTTCTGTGTCATGATTATCATGTTTGAATGTGTCATTTAACTTCGTCATCTATTCATGTTACGTGATAAAAAATTTATTATACGGGGAGCTAGCGAAACGTCTGTGAGCACGGTATGAGCATAATATGTTATGTTTTTACATGACACGCGTGTCAGGATTATCATATTTGCGCTATTCATATACTTTCGTCACTCATTGACGTTCCGTAACACCAAAGTTGGTATATGTGGAGCTAGCAGAACGGCCAAGACTGCATTATGAAGGGCCCAATATACTGCAATGTAGCGTTGACACACACTGAGCACAGCGACGCTACGTTAGCAAAACGTGAGCACTCTATAGTCGGACACCAGGAGTTACTCCCGTCCATCAGCGCGGCCAGCCAGCAACCGGTGCGAAATGCGACATGCTGGATTTCGTGCTGTTGCGTTATCCAGGCAACACCGCGTATTGTTCTTTTTGTGACGGAGTGACGCCGAACACGCTGAAACCAGTACGCGTCAATGCAACGCATCACGGTGCTCGCCTCCAAGTATATGGCAGTACCGGCTCCTGGCGTGGCAACGCCGGCGCGAAACGCCGAAATGAACGCCGGCGAGCACGCGCACCTCGTGACGTGTGAATGTATTCGCGCCTTCACTGTGGCATGAAGTTATGTTCTCACATGACACGCATATCATGATTATCGTGTATGCACCCGCCACATACCTTCGTCATACGTTGACGTCACGTAATACCAAATTTGCATATGTGAAGCTAGTGAAAC